AGCCCGCGCGTGGAGACACCCCAAACCCTCCCTGAGCCCGCCCCGGAGACCACCCCCACCCTGAGCCTGCCCTGGAGACCACCCCCCACCCTGACAGTGGCAGTGCCGGGCAGTGTCAGGCTGAGACCGGGCCACTTGCTCCAACGTCCACTCCAAGCAAGCCAAAGCCAGGTGCTGCCAGCCTGCCACACATTGCCAGACGGGTCTCCTAGTGTGGCACACGTGTTATGACCGTGGCTGCTGCCCCCAGCCCAGAGTGCACTTCCGGGTAACAAATCCAGCATCCTGAGGCTTCACTGCTCTCCTGAGGGTTTTCCAAGATTAAATTTCCTTCACAATGACAGCCTCCTGTCACCTGGGCCCTGGTGACGAAGCCTTCGGAGAGGAAAGGACCCATCCAGGGCATTCACAGTGGGAGTGCCGTCCACCCTCCACCCCTGTCCTGGCCCCCGCAGTGGGGCCACCACCCTGGGTAATGGGAAGCCTGAGGTCCTGGAGGAAGAAACAGGTGACCCACCTTCGGTGCACAGGGAGCAGCAGGCCTCCGATGGCAGCCCCCGCACCCCCCCGGGCTGAAGTTCAGGCTGTCTCATCCCTTGCCAGGAGCTCAGGGCTGAGCTAGGTTGGCAGGGGATGGGTTGAGGGGATCTGTTGTCCAGCAGGTTGCCCAGGCCCCACCCAGGCCCCTTAGAAAACACCTGTGAGAGCCCCGCAGGGCACTGTCGTGAGCACACCAGTGGGGACAGACGTCCAGGCAGGAGGGAGCAGCCAGACCCCCCTACCAGGGTCACCAGGTAAGCAAGGCTGGGGAACAATGGAGGCAGAGCCCTGCAAATGCCCCGCTCACCACCCCGCTCACTGCCCCGAGTGTCCGGGCTATGGTGCAGGCATGGGGACCCAGGTGTGTTCAGGGGTCTCCTTCAGGGGAGGAGACCAAGCTGGGAGTCTGGGGAGGCTGAGGTGTGAGACAAGAGTAGGTGAGAGTGAGCCCCAGTGAGCATTTTCACATGAAAGGAAACTAGAGGGCCGGGTGCAGTGTCTCACGCCTGTAATCCCAGCACTGTGGGAGGCCGAGGCGGGAGAATCACCTGAGGTCGGGAGTTCAAGACCAGCCTGACCAACATGGAGAAATCCCATCTCTACTAAAAAAAGTACAAAATTAGCCCGGCGTGGTGGTGCATGCCTGTAATTCCAGCTACTCGGGAGGCTGAGGCAGGAGAATCACTTGAACCCAAGAGGCAGAGGTTATGGTGAGCCAAGATCGTGCCATTGCACCGCAGCCTGGGCTACAAGAGCAAAACTCTGCCTCAAAAAAAAAAAAAAAAAGAAGAAAGAACAAGAAAAAAAGAAACAACAAAAGGTGAAGAAAGAACCACCCGAGATCACCAGAGGGAACCATGGCCGGAGCCCACCAGGACCGTGGAAGGTCCGTGGTCCACCAGCCTGGCTGGGGCACCTCAGCTCCTGGGCAGAGCAGCAAGCAGGGCCGTGCCCTGGTAAAGGAGGGCACAGTCAGCCCCAGACTAAATGCTGCCTTGGTCCTCCTAGCAGGGCTTAAAAGCAAGACCCCAAAGGACCAAACAGCTTCCAAGTAACTTCCTGGAGTCCTGAGCAAAGTGAGTATTTCCAAAAATAGTCAGCACCCAACAAAATTCACAATCCCTGTTCAAAATCACCCATTCAAAAATCACCAGGCATGCAAGGAAGCAGGAAAACGCAACCCAGGATAGAAAGAGGACCAAACAATGGAGCCGACTCGGAAGTGACAGACGACCGGCAAGTCCGCAGGCCACCGAGGCACCTGCCACCGAGGCACCTGCCACCACTGCGCCTAGTGCTCCCGAAGCCAGAGGGCAGGTGGGACACAGGTGGGGACGTTCTGAGCAAAAACACATGCAGCCGAGCTGGGGTCACCCGTGGGAAGAGGGTGAAACACTTGCACGTGGGTAGAGCAGTCTCTGCAAGGGGCTTTGTGGGCTCCAGGACCAGATGCCGTGAGGACCTCACCAGCGGCGGGGCGGCTGTCTCTGCCCCACCTCACATGCTCAGTGCATGTTCATTTCATCTTGTTTCATTCTCATTGCCATTTTACAGGTTGAGGTTCAGAGAAGGCAGAAGGCTTCCCAAGGCTGCACAGCCAGAAATGGGCACAGCGTCCTGGGGTGAGGCCTCACGCCCTCTGCGCCACCTACCCTCCAGGTCCCACCATCCTCACGAATTCAAGGCAAGGTTCTGGGACCCCAGCCCTCCAGAAAGGGGAAGTTGAGCCCAGGAGGCACATCAGAGAGTTCGGGCCCCTGAGTTTACCCTGCACTCACGCCCCGACTCGTCCTGCATCCTCTGTCGGGATGTCTGGATTCCAGAGTCCCCACCCCAATTTTCCAACCTTGCCTCAGCCTCGGCTTCCCCCTTTTGGGGTGGGACAGGGAACCCCTGCAGCAGGCGTGTGAGGGCGGGAGAGGGCGGGAGAGGGCGGGAGGTGCCCTACACCTGCCCGCCTGGACACAGGGAGACAGCGTGAGCACTGTTCCTGCCCCCACTCCCTCATCTGGGCTCCCAGGTACAGGTGCCGAGTCCCACCCAGAGCGGCCCTGCCACACCCGGAGGACTGACGAACCCAGACACAACCGTCTCTTCCCCTGGTCAGGGTCTGGGCAAGGGGCCCTGTGGGCTGCTGCTGTGAGTGTCCCTGCTGTGGCCAGGTGTGTGAGGTTGCGTTTCCAACCGGGAGTGATTTGGCTTTGGTTACCTGGAGGGTCTGAGGACAAGCACTAAAGCCCCACCTTTTTCCGGCTTCCAGCAAGTTGCTGGTTCCGCAGCAGCCTCCAGGCCTGACCAGGCTCGGGGGCTCCCACACCTGGGGGCCAGGGTGGGGGTGACAAAGGGCCCCAGGCGACGGCTGAGAGCCTGCCCTGGTGGGCAGCAGAACAGCCACCAGCTCCCACCAGGCCCTGGCAGTATGAGTGATGGCAGGCCCAGCGATAAGAAACTAATAATTTATGCTTCCAGCTCCAGGGGCCGGCGCCGAGGGAAGGCTGGGCCACAGCCTCCCCCCGCACTGAGCGGCCACAGTCCTTTATTGCACAAATTATTAACGACCAGAGAATGAATGACTCTGTAATCAGATCAGGCTGCCAGCACTTTTCATTGCGTTTATTTGTATAAATTCTGAAGTCAGGGTCTGCCCTAAGCTCAGCCTTGTGCTGGCTGGGAGCCCAGGCCCCCACCCAGACAGAGCACTGGTCCCTCGCCCTGCCCACGGGTTCCAGAGGACAGAGGGCTCAGAAAGGGGTGCAGGGAACTGCTCTGAGCCAGAAGCCGAGTTCATGGGCACCAAAGCAGCCCTGGGCCAGGGTCAGAGCTCTGTCCTTGAACCTGCCTCAGGGCAGGTTCCCAACTGTCCTCAGAATCAGGGGCGCCCAGGGTTTGGCAGCTGAAGGGGGGTGGGTCTGAGACCAGGAGAAGGCTCCCCAGCCCTGAGGGAACCCTCGTCACCCCTCTGCTCTCCTCCATCCAGGAGCCATCCCAGGGTTGCCCCAGGCCAGCTGGCTCTCCTGCCTCCATCCCGTGGCCTTCCCTGGAGCCCCAGGCTGGTCTCCCACCTGCCCCTTCCTTTTCTGGTCTTGCCTGGGCCGGGCCCAGGGGCTCTGGCTGTGGGTTTTCTGTGCAGCGCCTCGAGTGAGCCTAGCGCTGGTCCTCTCCTGAGCCCCCGTTTAATCTCATTGACCTCTCGTTACGCTACAGCGCATAAATTCAGATTTGGAGATCTTATGTTCCATCATAAATTGGGCTGGCAGACTTCCGATCAACAAGATAAAGCTGTCTTCTGCGAGGTGGGTGTTTTATTAGTCCCAGTCCCAGTGCCGCAGGTGGGGGCTGGGGAGTGCACGAGGGAGGGGCCTCTGCTTGGGAGCCTTCCTGCCTGGACGAGGGGCTGAGTCCCTCCTGCCGCCCAGGCTGGGCCCCAGGTACCTGGCGAAGAAAGGGACCCGGGCATTGCCGCCTTCCCCTGCACCTTGGGCTCAAGCCTGGCCGCTGCCCTTGGGCTCTTCATAGGATCTCAGCCAATCCCTGCCGCCCAGCCTCGCCCACCCGCTTCTGGGGCCACCCCCGGGGTCATGCAGGGCTGTGCAGCATGGGGGTCCTGTTCTCATTCAGCCACCTGCAGGGTCACCCCAGTGTGATCCCTCAGCAGCCACACAGAAGACAGATGGTCCATAGGAGACTCAGAAACAGAGAAGCCTCACGCCAGGTCCACAGAGGCGCCCACGCCCGCCAAAAGGATGCCACGCACTCACCCTGCCCTCTGGGGAACACACTGGGAGTCCAGGACATCACCTTGGATGGGGTGAGGCTCCATCCGTGACCTCAGAAAGTCAGTCTGGAGCTGGACTTGACATGGGAAACAGTAAAACACCTGAGCTTGCCACCCTGAAAATCCCTGACGTGACACAGAAATCAGTGTGGACAGAGCGCCTGCTGCCCCCAGTGACCCTGCCAGTGGGCTCTCAACCCACCTACCCCTTCTGCAGCAGCCGGTCACAGCTGTGGTCCTGCTGGGGCACACGGGGATGAGATCCTAAAATACACAGCAACTGCACAGTGGAACCCTGCATATCCCGTTTGGGTACAAGGAAACCCAGCGCAGCTCACGTGTGGGTATCCTCCGCTGCGTTAGCATCCTGGCCCTCATACAGCACCCAGGCCTCGGGGCAAGACCATGTGCACACACCGTGGGATCTGAGTGTGCACTGGGGCCTGTGCCTGGGCTGCTGCTCCCCGGCCACTGGTGTCAGGATCTCCAGGACCCCCATGAGTGGTCAGTGGAGCAGAGATGGCACAGATGCCAGCGACCTGGGTCACTCTCTACCTGGGATGTGGGACCCCAGAGGCCACACCGTAGGTTTGCATCTGCCTCTTCACGCAGGAGCAGCTGCCACCCCTGCCTGCCCCATGAGGCTCTGTCACAGGGGACCTCTGTGGCATCCCGTGCTGCAGGCAGGGCCTTCGGATGGATGCTACGCCACCGTCCGTGCCTCCTGAGGCTGGCCTCCCTTTGCACTGGGCAACGTCTGCTGAAGATAAGGACGTCTTCACTGGGCCAGGCCTGGAGTTCTCCCAGGTTGTGAGCTCTTCTCCCTCTGATGAAGAGGATACCTGTGGTCCAACTCCTACAAAGCACCGGGGACAAGAAAGCAGGCAGAGTCCCACCTGGGCAGGTGGTAGGAGTGGAGGGAGCAGGCAGGCAGCAGGGCTGCCCAGAACTAGGAGGCTGAGCTGCCCTGGGCGAGCCCCAGAGCCCACCCAGGGCTATACCCAGTCTGGCTGCGAGCAGGGCCCACCCTCCCCTGGACACAGTGGAGGACCCCGTGTATGTGGTCTTCACGGCCTGAGCACCTGTCTCGTGCCAGGCGTGTGAGATTGTTGGTGAATTAACAAAAGCCCTGCTCTCAGGGGGCTCCCATCCCAGCACATACACAGTCACATCTGGGGTCCAGCCTGGACCCCCCATGCAGTTGGAGAGGGTCTCAGAGCTGGGTCTGAGAACAGTAACTTCCAGCCACCACACCCCACCCGTCCCCAGCTGCCCTGGGCTCCGGCTTCTTGCACCTGAGGCTGTCTGTGCAGGGCTCCCAGCTGGTGCCCCTCTCCTCTGAAGCTCGGGGGTCAGTGCAGCCTGGCATCCTCATCGGGCCTGTTATGCGGGTTCTGGTCTCTCTGTGACCACAGACCCACCAAGCCCACCAGCTAGTCAATGTTGAGCCAGCACAGCAGGAGCCCGACCTGCTAGGGCCCTCAGAACGAGGAGGATCGTGGTCCCTGAGGCCTTCACACAGGATCTGTGCTGAGAGAGAGCTGATGTGGACGGCAGCACCATGGCCACGGCAGAGGCACCATCCCTCCACCCTTACTCACGTAGGGATCCGCTCTTCTCTCACACTGGGCCCTGCGGGCACATTCCAGATGTGGGGGACGGGCTGGAGCCCAAGGCCTGGGTGCTGGGCCCTGGCTCTGCACCCGGCTTCCAGCGTCTCCCTGGCCCAATGTCAGAGAGGGTGCCACAGCAGTGCTTCGGGGGCTCCTGCCATAAGGGCTGAGGGCTGAGGACCACCTAGGCCCACGTGCACCCAGCAGGCGGCCGCCACACCCTCTGATCCCCTCCACAACCCAGGCCAGGTCCAGGCTGCAGGCCGGCAGCGTTGGCAGAGGGAGGACAGGGAGGAATTGGCCGAGTGCATTCACTGGGACAGACCCTCCCGCTTCCTTCAGGCTCTGGAGAATTCTATTGCTTCCCTTTGCCTAGCCTCAGGGTGCTGGGGCTTCTACATCATTTACAGAGGAATTGGCTGGGATGTGCCGGGCCTAGCACTGTCTCCGGTGTGCGTGTCAGCACTCTGGTGACATGGCAGGTGAGGACCACGGCACCACCCCTGCGATTTGGCAGAGCCCACCTGTGTGTGTCTGCAGGAGCATCCCTGACCACACACCATGGGAGGGCAGGGAAGGGTCCCTCGGGCCCCACCCCTTTGTTCTTTCAGTGGTAAAGGTTCAGGTCGGTGGACAGACTGGACTTGGAAACACCTTCTTATGTCCTCGAAACGACGTGGCGCGCAGCCAGCTCACGGCACCCAAAGGCGCGGGCAGGTTGAAGCGCAGCGGCTCCTCCTGTCTGACCAGGAGCAGGTGCGTTCCTGAGGTCCTGGCTGCTTCTGCAGGAGCATCTGAGGGAGCGCAGCTGATTTACCACAACCCCTGACCTCCTGGGTTAGCCTTTCTGTCCAGCAGCACCAGGACTGAGCCCTGGCACTGGGCAGGCCGCCTTGGCTGGGGATCATGTGTGCCTGGGTCTGTGCGGTGCGGGTGCCCGAAGGCCCTGGGTCTGTGTTGCGCACCGGCCTTGGAGGGCAGTGCACATCCTGTCTGTCACCGTTGTCCCTGTGGCCATGGGAGGGTCTGTCTGTGCTGCGTGTGTGTCGTGCGCGTGAGTCTGGAGCTGCTGCGCCACACACAGGCATGCAGAGTGTGGGCACACCTGTGCTTCTGAGCACGCGTGCCCTTGCTGGAGGCCAGGCACACACACAGCTGTGCATCCTTGGCCCGAGGTCAGCTGTGCCACACCTGCGGGCTGCAGGATCTTTTCTGCGTATCTCCCTCCATCACCAGAAGTAAACTCAGGACTGAGGCTGACGGGCTGGCCTGAGCGCTGCTCACCTGCACCTCCTGGCTGCACCTGTGGCCCCGGACTCGGCTTCCCCATCTCTCTCCTCCCCACCCCACCTCTGGGTCCTCTCTGGCTGGGGCTGTACCACATCTGGGCTCAATCAATGGTTGACTGATTGATGAGGGGATGGATGAGAGGCAATCTAACAGAAATGCTGGGGAGCCTGGGCAGGCACTCCCGGATGGCGGAGGCGGCGTGCGGGCTGGGGCAGCAGCCCCTGGCGCCCCCACACTCCCCCAGGACGTCTGGGGTCACCGTCTGCTCCGGCAGCCCCAGGGTTATTTATGACCTCCTCCCTCTGGCGGGAGGCAGCGGCTCCAGCCTCAGCCCAGCGGCGGAGGGGCCCCAGCAGGGGGACCCGGAGCAGCGACAGAGGCACCAAGGCCCAGGCAGGCGGGGCTCGGTGGGCAGCAGGAGGCGCAGTGGAGTGACACCGCCACGTCCCTGCCTTGCTCGGGATGATTCTAGCAACAAAACTCCATTCTTCTGGCCTCTGCCGCTGGCCTGAGGAGTGCAGGGGAGAGTGGGACCCAGGTGTCCCAGACCAAGACAGGTGTGTGAGTGGACACGGGACACAGGTGTGCGAGTGGAGGACACGGGACAGGTGTGAGCGAGTGGACACATCACACAGATGTGCAAGCAGACACAGGACACGCAACACAGGTGCGCAAGTGAAGAAGGGACAGGTGTGAGCCAGCGGACATAGGTGAGTGAGTGGACGCATCACACGAGTGCATGAGCAGACACGGGACACAGGTGCATGAGTGAACTCGGGACAGGTGTGAACCAGTGGACACGAGACACAGCTGTGAGCGAGTGGATACAGCACATGTGTGAGTGGGCGCGGACAGTACATGTGTGAGCGAGTGGACACAACACAGATGTGAAAGTGGACACAAGATACAGGTGTGGGAGTGGACAGTGTGCTAGTGGACATGGGTGGGAGTGGACACAGAACAGGTGTGAGCATGGACACGGACACGGGTGTGGGCATGGGACACAGGTGTGTGTGAGTGGACACAGGATATGAGTGTGTGAGTGGACAGGACCAAGGAAGGGGCACAGCCCCACGGAGAAGGATGATGCTGGGGGTGAAGAGGCCTGGTCATGTGGGAAAGTGGCCTCCGAACAGGTACCTGTTTCCCAGGAAGACAAGGAGGTGGTGGGGAAGGCCTCCTCACCCAGCCCCTGGAGGGGCCTCCAGAACATCAGGGAGTGGACGGTGAGGATGGGGGGTGCCTCCAGCTTTGGACCCAGTCAGGGTCTTTTCAGGAAGACACCCGGGTCCTCCAGAGACAGGTGGAGCCAGACTGTGGGCTGGAGGTTAGGCTGCAGAGCCCGGGTGGGCTCCCACACCCAGCCAGAAACCCAGGGCCAGCCCCAGGCCCCTCCTTAACCGCACTGCGGGCCTGAGCATGGTGAGACACCGGTGAACAGGGGAGGGCTCTTGGAAGGGAAAGCAGGCCCCTCTGCTGGCCCAGGTCAGAGGAGAGTCTGGCCCAAGGGCCTCAGACCCAGAGAGGCACTGCCATGCGGACCTGCGCCTCCCCAGCCTCCCTCCCCAAATCGCTGTGTGAGCATCAGGGAGTCAGGTGCAGGCGAACCTAGAAGGAGAGTGAGGTGCAGGTGAATCTAGTAGCCCGCACAGGCAGTAGGGTCAGGGCTGCGGACAGTGGGCGCTCACGGTCAGTCCACATGGCCTCCAGCTGGCCCCAGGAGTGGACTTTCCACATGGCATCGGACCTGAGAGAAGACACAGATTTCAGGGGAGGAAGACACAGGAACTCGCTGGCAGCCACGTCTGGGGTCAGGGATGCAGAGAGGTTGATAGCACCAAGGGTGGCCATGTAAGGAAGGGTCACTCACAGCCACACCCACACTCCCACCTGGCCCCTCAGGCCCCAAAAGACCAAGGAGCCCCCACAGAAAGGGGCCAGGATGGGAGGGGAGGCTTCTGGGCATGCTCCTTGTCTGAGCAGAGCACCACTGGCCCAGATCTCGCTCCGCGGGTGGGCTGGGGGGCCAGCAGAAGCCTCTGGTGAGATAAGCTGAGGGAGCCCAGAGTGGTCACCCGGGGTCAGGTTTACGCTCAGGGGGGCTGATCTGGGAGGAGGTGGTGGTGTGGGAGGGCGTGCACCCTGCCAGCCCCCTGTCCCCCACCCCCACCCTGACTAACGCCTTCCTGCTGGGGGCTGTGGGGTGACAGGAAGCTCTTGCCCCACCCCATGGCCCTGGCGCCGTCCTGGCGTGAGACACTGCGCATTTGAAACAGCTGTGTGACTTCAGGAGCGTTACTTGACCTTTCTGTCTCAGCGTCCTCACCTGCAAAAGACTAAAAAGGAACTCGCTGGCTCAGGCGAACTCACTCCTGTCAAGTGCATAGGAAGGGGCAGGAACGCGCGGGGAGGTGCTGCCCTGTCACTCACAGAACACTTTGCCCAGGCCGCACACTACAAATCCACAGCCTCGTTCCCTGCAGGTGCAGAGACCACCACGCCCTCCCGGACACCAACGCCCACCATCAGATTCGCTGTGCAAGGCCCCAGAGCCGCGGGCGCAGGCTCACACCGCGGCGAGCAGCCCCCGGCTCCCTCCCTCCGAGAGGAGCCCGGTCCGCGACCGGCCCAGCCCATCCCAGTCCCGCGCGGAGTCCCGGATTCCAGCCGTCCCAGTGACTCGGTACTCGGGATAGCGCCGGGGGCCGCAGCCCTGTCCCGCTGCCGCCGCCGGATGCCCCGAGTCGGCCGTCACGCACCCCCCGCGGGAGCCCGCGCCGCCCGCCGCGCCGGGGCCGTTTAAATGGGCCAAGTTGTGGCGGCGGCGGCGGCGGCGGAGTCTCCCAAGTCCCCGCCGGGCGGGCGCGCGCCAGTGGACGCGGGTGCACGGCTGACGCGGCCCGGGCGGCGGGGCGGGGGCTTGGGACCCCCGGGCGGGGCGGGGACTCCGCGGCTCCTGGCTGCCGGGCTCGGCCTGGAGGGTGGGTCGGCGAGCCGGGCGCGGGTCTTCCCCGGGCGCGGGCGCAGGTGGCCGGGGCGCGGGACTCCGGACGCCCCGCGGAGCCCCAAGGCCCGGGAGGGGCGGCGTTCGGCGAGTTGATCCGGGATCGGTAGCGGCTCCGGCAGCTCCATGTCTCGGGCCGCCGAGGCCCCGCCGGCCGTCTGGGCAGCAGTCCGGGGAGGCCTGGCGGGCGGCGCGGAGGCGGCGGCTGCAGGCGCCGGGGCGCAGTAGCGGACGGGGTGGGCGCGCGGCCAGGCGCCTCCCCGGCCCCCGCAACGCAACTCCGCCCGGGCCGGAGTAAGTTGCTGCCGCCGGCGGAGAGCGGGGCTGCGAAGCCACCGGGGCGCCATGCCGGCGGTCAAAAAGGAGTTCCCGGGCCGCGAGGACCTGGCCCTGGCTCTGGCCACGTTCCACCCGACCCTGGCCGCGCTGCCGCTGCCGCCGCTGCCGGGCTACCTGGCGCCACTGCCCGCGGCGGCGGCCCTCCCCCCGGCCGCCTCTTTGCCCGCCTCGGCCGCCGGCTACGAGGCTCTGCTGGCCCCGCCGCTCCGCCCCCCGCGCGCCTACCTCAGCCTGCACGAGGCCGCCCCGCACTTGCACCTGCCCAGGGACCCGCTGGCCCTCGAGCGCTTCTCGGCCACCGCGGCCGCGGCCCCGGATTTCCAGCCGCTGCTGGACAACGGCGAGCCGTGCATCGAGGTGGAGTGCGGCGCCAACCGCGCGCTGCTCTACGTGCGCAAACTCTGCCAGGGCAGCAAGGGCCCGTCCATCCGCCACCGCGGCGAGTGGCTCACGCCCAACGAGTTCCAGTTCGTCAGCGGCCGCGAGACGGCCAAGGACTGGAAGCGCAGCATCCGCCACAAAGGTGCCGCCGCCCCTCCCTTCGCTGCCGGGACCCGCGGGCCCCGACCCCACCCCAACCCGACTCTGACACCCGTGGGGGCGCGGGCCGCCGCCGTCTCTCCCTTCGCTCCCCGGGGACCTGCGGGCCCCGACCCCACCCCCTACCCGACTCGGACACCCGGGAGCCTCCGGCTCGGCCGAGGGGGCGCTGCAGCTCCAGGGCTGCGCGGGGACACACCCGCCGCGCGCGGAGGCCTCGGTGGACCCGGGCAGAGCGCCCCCCGCTGCACCTCCCTCCAGCTTGGGCCACAGCGCTTGGGGCTCGCGGGCCGCCCCCTCCGCTCGGAAGGTCTCTGCAAGGCTCCTGGGCCTGAAGCCCCAAAACAAGTTTACGGGAACTCGAGAGAGCCGGCAGGAGGCGGGTTGGGAGGGCGCGGAGCCCAGGGTTGGGGGGCGTGGAGGGGCGCACGTGCGGCCGGCTGCGATCGCGCGGCGCGGGAGGCTGCGGGGCGGGGCGGGGGCGCGCGCGGAGCCCGAGCGGCGGTGCCAGGACACGCGGCCTGTTTTGGCGCCTGCGGGCGCCTGGCCCCAAGGGTGCGACGCGGGGGCGCCTGAGCCGGGACACGGGGCGAGGTGAGCGCCAGGCGCCGCGAGGAGTTAAAAAGTTCGGGACCTGAGCGGTGCGTGGCTCCGCGGTGGCCGCCGCCTCCTGCCGCGCAGGCCGAGGGTCCCGACGGCGCCGCTCACCGCTCCGGGACGCAGCCTTTCTGGGCCCGGCCTGCGGCTCCCTCGGGACCGGGGAAAGGGTGGAGCGCGGGAGGAGGGGCGCCGGGTGGGGACGCCCAGGCCCTTCGTCGGGGGAGGGCGCTGCTCCCGGGCTGGAGTTGCAGAGCCCAGCAGATCCCTGCTGCGTTCGCGAGGGTGGGGCGGGAAGCGGGCTGGGAAGTCGGGCCGAGGTGGGTGTGGGGGGTGGGGGGGTATTTCGCCCAGGAGACGGGAAGGGGGAACTGGCCCTGCCGCCGACTGCGCCCAGAAGCGTGCCGCGCCCTCACAGGGTCTGCCTCGCCTCTGCTTGCAGGGAAGAGTCTGAAGACGCTTATGTCCAAGGGGATCCTGCAGGTGCATCCTCCGATCTGCGACTGCCCGGGCTGCCGAATATCCTCCCCGGTGGTGAGATGCGGGGCTCGGTTGGGGCTGGGAGTTACTCCCCCTGCGGAGCTTGTCCCTGCGGTTTTCAGGATGGAGAGTCCTCACTTCACCCCTGTGGGTGTGCTGGAGGGAGCCTTCGCAGGGCGGAGGGAAGGGGCTTTACTTCGTGTCCTCCCAGCCCTTGTACCTGGACAGGGGGAGGAGTCGTTGGGCACCCGAGCCCCCTCCCAGTGTGGAGACAGGGGGCTCGTGCCTGTCCTAGAGCCTCCCCTTGGGTGACTTGGAGTTGCTTCTCCTCGAGTCCTGGGTCAGGGTCTTCTCTCTGGGAGGAGTAATTCAACGTGGGCCTGGCACTGTGCCCTGTCACATTTTGGGGGTCACTGTGTTCTCTGGCCCAGCTGGTGAGGTGTGATTCTGGGTATGACAGCATTTTGGGGAGCTACAGGCTTGGGTGTGAGTGACTTGTGTCTCTGAGGTGCTGAAGGCCAGGGTGCAAGGGCCTGGATGTCAAAGTGTGTCTTAGGGACACAGAGGCTAGCCAGGGACAGTCTTTCCAGTGTGGGCCTTTGGTGTCCAGAGAATTGGAGCCGGAGGCTAGTTCAAGGCCCCAACCCAGGGTAGACAGCTATGGACACCCTCAGTGAGGGAGCAGGCAGGACAGACTGGGATGCTGGGAGCTCCCTTCTGCTCAGGGAGGCACCTGCACCCCCCACCCAGCCTCCAGCCCCCCTAGTTGGGCAGCGAGGGTTGGAGGATTGATGTGAAAATGAAGATTGCCTGTTGGGAAGGACCAGTTTGGAGCCAACTAGGGCCATGGCTGCTGGGGATAGGGGCTGCAATTCCTGGTGCACTCAGGAGCCCCTTCTTCCAGGAAAGCGTAGGAGAGGCACAGGTGCAAAGTGGGCCTGAGTGGCCGCCTCTGCTTGCCTGCTTCGGGCCTGAGAGGATGGGGGAGGGGATACCCCAGGGGCCTGTGAGCTGCGAGTGCTTGGTAGCCGCGAGTGCTTGGTAGCCTGGGCGCTGGGAGGCTGCAGACACACCTGTGAAGACAGCTGGTCCCTCAGACATACAGCATTTGGGCAGGGGAAGGGGACACAGCTGCACTTCACCCATGTGCCCACCTGACACACAGTCCGACACAGATCTGCACGCACAGGCAGGCAGCTCACAGAGTTCCCAGGCAAGTGTGCAGACAGCTGGCAGCCCCCTGCCTGCTGTCACAGACCTACCCAGGGCAAGAGGGCCAGTTCCCTCCTTTCAAGCAGCTGGTGCTGGAGAGGGCTCCTCTGGGCAGCCCACTGGCTAGCCTTGGGTCTCTGGATGGGAGCGGCCCCCTTGAGGCCGCCCACAGGAGTGGGGAGCAGGCAGCCTGAGCCCCGCATCAGTCTCTTCTGACACTGCTTCAGTGAGCGTGCATCTCTTCCCAACCCAGGGCCACAGCCAGGAGATGCCCCCCCACCTGGGCCACCAGGTTCCTGCCCTGCATGAGGGATGGCTCAGATCCAGGCCTGCCTCTGCCAGTCCCTCCCAGGCCTGTCCCACACCCTTCCCCTAGGAAGCAGCTCCAGGGGCCCCTTCTTTCCAACCCCCACGTTTCTCACTCACAGGCTGTCTCCCCCAAGCCCCATGCCAGGTCCACAGGTATGTGTACCTCATGGTCACGGAAACTCCAGGGCAGAATATGAGTGTGTATGTGCCTTGGGGACCCTGCACAGGGGCCCTGCAGGCCAAGCACCTCCCAAGAGGAGGTGCTGTCAGAGGCTGAGTTTTCAGATCTGTGTGCTGTGGAACTGGGGTGGGCTGGCCGAGGCCTGTAGTGTGGAGGAGGTATGTTCTGTCCTTGGGCAGGGCGGGTGCCAGGGAAGCTGTCCTGGTCCTCAGCACCCCCATCAGCCACCCCAGACCTGCCCTCCAGGTGCCTTGGGGTGTGGCTGGGGTACCAGTGTGTCCCCACGCCCGACTCTGTGCATCATGGGGCTGAGGCTGGCATACAGCCTGGGCTCCATTCCCAGCCAGCCGGCCCTGGCCTCCTTCCAAAGGGCAGTCTTCTGGTCCTTGCTTCCCTCTCTTCCCATTCCACAGACAAGAAGCAGAGAGAAAAGCATTGTGTCTTCTTCTCAAAAGAAGGGAGGTGGGAGGCTGGGCGCGGTGGCTCACGCCTGTAATCTCAGCACTTTGGGAGGCAGAGGCGGGCGGATCATGAGGACAGGAGATCGAGACCATCCTGGCTAACACGGTGAAACCCCGTCTCTACTAAAAATACAAAAAATTAGCCGGGCGCGGTGGCGGGCACCTGTAGTCCCAGCTACTCAGGAGACTGAGGCAGGAGAATGGTGTGAACCCGGGAGGTGGAGCTTGCAGTGAGCCGAGATTGCACCACTGCACTCCAGCCTGGGCGACAGAGCGAGACTCCGTCTCAAAAAAAAAGAAGAAGGGAGGTGGGAGAGGAGAGGCCGTCAGAGCTCCTAAGCCCTGGTGCTTGGGCTGCAGAAGGGCAGAGCTGAGACTTCCCAGCACAGCACACTCCGGACAGGCTGTGGCTGCTGAAGTGAGCCCCAAGCTCCAGCTGACACGCAGAGGCCTGGGCAGACAGGCACTGCACCTACAGCCTTGGCCGCACGCTGTGGTCATTGGTATTGGGGGCAGCCCAGGGCCAGGGCAGGGTCTTAGCAGGGGCCTTGGACCCCATGCCCCACCCCCTGCCCAGCAGTGCTGGGTTTTCCCACTGAGCTGTTGTGGAGAGAAAGGAGGGGACTCAGCGCAGGCCCAGTGGCCGGTGAGGGGGACGGGGGCTTCCGCCTGGGTTGGGGGATGCTCCAGCTTCCAGACCCTTGAGGAGGGGGCACTGCCCAAACTGAGCTGGTGCTGGGGCTGTGTGTTTGAAGGTGATGGTGGTTCTAGGTCTGAGGAGGACACCCTCCTAACACCTTCATCCCCAAGCTCCGGGCTGCGTTTTGGCATTGGGAGGGAGGAAGTCCAAGGAGGCCCCGGTGACTGAACGGAGGAGAGGGAGTCAGTTAGATGCTCTCAAGGGCTCTGCCACCTCCTGAAGCCAGCAGCCTGTTGCTACATTTTAAAAAGCCTCCCGCCCACTGGAAAATAATCAATAACTTTCCTTTTTCCCTTGGGGGTGGCAGGACCTAAAAACACTTGGGAGGAGTCCAGAAGTGCCTGGGGCTGGGCCAGAGCGAGTGTGCTGTGCAGGGTGGTACAGGCGTGTCCGCCGCATGTGTGCGTGAGCTTGGGGCTCAGCTGTGCTCTGCAGGGACCACACGGGGCACGTCTGCGCTCCCACCCGAGGCACCCACCGCTCCACACACTTGTTCCGTGGGTGCAAGGGAGATGGGAAGAAGAAGCCATGTGAAAGATGCCAGGCAGGGCTGGTGGAACAGAGGACCTGGGCTGGTCAGGGCTCCTCGTCTGGTGACCTGTGAGCCCCAGGCCTGCAGTCTGCGAGGGTTCAGCTCAGACAGTTGCCAGTTGCCTTGCGCCCGGCTGCAGCTGCCCCGAGCTGGGCTGTGCGTGGCGCTGATGAAACAGAAAAGGGCATTCGCTTGTCAACATTGGCGTCGGTGGCAGGGTGTGGTGGGGCAGAAGGTTCACAAAATGTGGGTGGGACTGGCAGCCAGATACACGGAGGTAACATGTGCACTTGAGTGCACGCCCACTAGAACCAGCCCCAGGCCACAAGCAGATCCCAGGAGACACGCAGGGCCCCTAAGAAGGGAGCTGGGAGTGAGGGGCACACAAGCCCGGGACGGGGGCCCCGACTCGCCCTGGAGTTGGCCAGGACCCTCCAGCATTCTCAAGGGCTGTGGTGGGGTGGGCAGAGGAGGGCTGAGCCAGTGGGCGCCGTCTGTAGGGGGATGCCCAACTGAGGCCCCATCTCTCAGCTCTCCTCTGGGTCTCTGGCCAGCTGTGGCTCCTGCTGGCCCCAGGCCCATCCTGGAGGTGGGTGGAGGGAGGATGGCTGCTCCGAGGGCACCTCCGCTGTGCCTGGGGCTGGGCCTGGGGTGCGAGGCCAAGGCAGACCCCCGGGAGACGCAACGGCCCGGTCCAGCCTCACCTTCCTGTCCTCCTGCCCCACCAGAACCGGGGGCGGCTGGCAGACAAGAGGACAGTCGCCCTGCCTGCTGCCCGGAGCCTGAAGAAGGAGCGGACTCCCAGCTTCTCTGCCAGCGATGGTGACAGCGACGGGAGTGGTCCCACCTGTGGGCGGCGGCCAAGCTTGAAGCAGGAGGATGGCCCGCACATCCGTATCATGAAGAGAAGGTACTTGGACCAGGGCCGGACAGGAAGGCACAAGGCTCAGATGGGGTTGGAGCTTCCGGCCTTCAGCGGCTCAGATGAGAGCGTCCACACTGGCCTCCCACACTTCCCTCGGATGCTGGTCTTTTTGGGGTCCTGTGTGGGTCGCAGGCAGGAGCTGTTTCTTCATCTGCCCCCTCTGGTGTCCCCTCCCACCTCTGCTCTGCGGCGCTCACTTGCAGGAGGCAGGTTGGCAGCAGTTGGGATCCAGAGGTCTACACCTGCCTGGGCCAACGCTCCAGCTACCCCTGCTGACCGGGTCCCAGTCTGGCCAGAGCAGCTCCAGCAACAAGGAGCTCCATTCAGGCTCATGACTGACTGTGCGGAAGCAGCCTCGGCCCCTACCTGCTGTAGAACGCCAGGGCTCCTCTGAGGGCAACAAGCCGGAGGGAGAAGGGGCCTCGGTTCTGTTCTCCTGACGTCTGTGTCTGCTGAGGCAGGAACTGGTCCATGGGCCTCTCCTGGCAGGAGACCCCAGCACGTTGAGCCAGTAGCAGATGGTGCTGGGCACAGCAGCCGCCCTCGTTCACTGCCCAGGGCTGTGGCCCAGCAGGGCACTGACCCGAGACAGGTCTGCTGTCCTGAGGCTGGGGTCAGGGGCCTCCAGAGCAACATGGACCTTCTGCTTCCCTTCCTGCAGAGTCCACACCCACTGGGACCTGAACATCTCTTTCCGAGAGACGTCCTGCAGGTAGGAGCCGTGCTGTGCGTGTAAGAGGGGGCCGTGACTCCCCTCCCTCCCTCCCTCCCACCCCTGCCCGTGGCCTGCTGGGTGCTGTCCCCTGTCTCAGATAGCGTGAGCTGATGCTGGCTGAGCGTCTGCCAGGTTTGACGTGTGCTGCAAGGTTGTCCCCCCGCCCGGGAGGCAGACAGTGTCGCACCCAGTTGAGACTGAGGGACCCCAGGCCCAGTCAGAGGTAGATGTCGGCAGCAGCACAGGTGTGAGTTCTGGGTAGCCCGGCCCTAGAGTTGGCGTGCACCTCCTCCCATGTGAGACTGGCCATTTGAGCCCAAAAATGAGGCTGTCACCTCCCCCTTCCCACCCTGCTACAGACCCACCAGGAGGTGAGAATGGTGTGTGAGTGGGGCCTTGAAGGATGTGTAGGAGCTCACTGAGGCGAGGGGATGTCTGCGGAGAGTGGAGGAACAGGGAAGGGCGTGTAGGAGGGAGGAGGAGTGAACCTGGCAGCTGTGGCTCAGTTGGATGCTGAAGGCTCGTGGATGCTGGGCCTGTGGGCACGGTCCTCTAGGCGGGGAGCCCCTGGAAGTTCTTGCGCGGGGCAATGACCAGGTGTGCGTGTGGAGAAGGTCCCTCCAGAGGCCCTCCTGGCAGACGGGGGATTGGATTCAGGCTGTGGAAGCAGGACGGTAGCGGGTGCGATTCCAGGATGTGGGAAGGAGATGAAAATGAAGAGCCCCAGGGAAGAGGTCAAGGCAGTTGGGGGACCCGAGTTCCTGGCTCCAGGGGGAAGCGGGTGGTCAGTCTGTGAACAGAGCCCAGCTGTGGATTCTGTCAGTGGGGTCAGGTCTTACCCTGTGGCTTCCAGGGCAGCAAGGCAGGAAGGGGGTGTCCGCCGCAAAGCCAGCTTCCCGGGGCCAGAGCGGTGAGGGCCCAGGGGGACCTGCAGGTCCTGGCTCCACGCCAGGTGTGTTATTTATGTCTCTGAGGATGTCTGAATCTCAGAGCCGAATTACAATAAAAACATCTTTAAACTTATTTCCACCTCATTGTGGGGTTGCCAGCTCAACTGATCATTTTTATGAACTGTCATGAACATGGATGACATTTTATGAGCCTTTTACTTGGGACACTACAGAATAAATTTGTCAGTGAGGCCTGCAGGGAAACCCAGCCGCGGTCCCCCCGCTCCAGTAACGGCTCCTCCTGCCTGCAGCCCCTCCTCTGTCCACCTGGCCTCGGGAATGCAGCGACCCTCAGCAGCACTGACGGCTGGCAGCCTGGGGTGCCCTAGGAAGAGGCCAGGTCTTCCATCCTGCGTGGGCCCTCGAAGGGGCTAGAATGAGTTTCTGAATCTCCCAAGGGCGAGATTTCGGTCAGAGGGGAGGGCGTGCTGGGGTCCCCGAAGGAGAAGGCACGGCACGTCTGAGTGGACTAAACCCCCGTCTGTGGACCTGACCCTGGTGTCTGGTCAGAGTGGGTGGTGGTCCCTGAACCCAGCGGCCACACTGGCCCCAGGCCGTGTCTGTGTTTCTTTCGGCCTGTCCCTGGGTCCGTCTGCCTCTGCGGGCTCCCACAGGTGCCTCTGTGGCCAGGCCACCTCCATCTGTGTGTTCATTTGCTCCCATCCATTGGTCTCCACCCATCTGTCCGTCTGTCCTTCCATCCCTGTCCCTCTGTCTGGCTGGCTCTGCAGTGACCACCTGCCTTTTGGAGCCCGCAGAGCCCCAGGCCATCCTCCTCTGCCTCAGGAACCAGGGCTGGCAGATGCTCCTCAAGCCATTGTTTGCAGGCGGGGGCTTGGCCCCTCTCTCCTGGGCCCCTGAGCTGGTGGAAAAATGGGCAAGGGCTGGACTGTGTGGTCATCACTGAGGGGCGGTGGCGGGAGGCCCCTGCCTGGGGAACTGGGGTCACACCTGCCAGGCTCTGACCTCCCCCTCACCCTCTCCTTCCTGCACCTCCTGCCCTGGCCCTGACTGCATCTCCCAGCTTCCCCACCTCCTGACCTGCGGCCCGGCTCCACCACAGAGACCCTCAGGGACTTTGTCCCTTGTGCGAAGGAGGGTGCAGAGGGCATTCTGTGGTTCGAGGACCATGTGCTGATGTGCCCCGGGCCAGGTTCCTGCGTCTCCGCTCTGGCACGTCCAGGGCGTGTTTCTTTACATAAAACTGGCATAATTGGTTCACTGAGTGGCCAAGTGACCAGAACAGGTTTTCAGGGGCTGGGGCAGGCCAGGCTGTGTCAGAGCCTCGGGAGTAAACTCCAAGGTAGAGACCAGGAGTGGGGAAGGCGGGTGGCACCCAGTTCCCCACCAGGTGCCCCTGCCCAGCCACAGCCCCTCCACCCAGCTGTCAGGCCCCCCCTCACTTTTTCTGGGCGCCAGGCTCAGGGCTCACAGCCAGCCCCCACCCTCTGGAGTCTCTGGGAAGCTAGTTCTCCTCCTGCAGGCGTCCCGGGGACACCAGAGGGGGGACCCCTGGGGAGAACTCCACGGCAGCTGTGGCTGCTGCCAGGCCAGCCCTTGGCCCCCACCCCATGCTGAGGCCAGCAGTCCTCTCCTGACACCCCCGCATCGATTAGGATCATGGAAGGGATGAGACTCGCTGCCGATTAATCCCATAAAGTACTTACTCCCACCCAGCTGCCCTCCTGTGTGCCTGGGGGGGGCTTGCATTCCCACTGGGGGCCGGTGGGGGTGGGGAGAGAGCCAGCATCTGGGTCTCCTGGAAGGCTTGAGAGCCCAGCCTGGGAGTCTTTGGTGCTCAGCTTAGGGGCAGCCCTGGATTAGCCCAGCTCCAGCCAGCCCAGGTCAGGGGGGCTGGGGGCTATTTAACGAGGTTTAGGGTTGGCTCCCAGGTCACTGCGCCAGGAGGCTGCTCCATTACAGGTGGGCAGGGGCTGCGCTGCAGGAATGCTGCTTGGGGAGCGGCGCCTGGACCCTGAGCCCCTTCTCTGCTGACCTGGGGAGAGGCTCACGGAACCGGGAAGGGGTGGAGAGCCGTGCTCCACACAGATCCTCCCATTGCTCTCTGGGACTCTGTGGATGTGGGATTCGGCTGAATTAGCAAGAAGAGGAGAAACGAGGGAACAAGAGAGTTAAATGCATGTTGATTCCAAGCCCACACCTGCTTGGGGGACAGTGGGAGGTCAGAGCACACAGCCCTGGTGCCTGGTGCAAGCTGCATGTGTCTGCTGGTGCTCTGTGCGCGTGCATCAGCCACAGGACTGTGCTCTGGGCTTCAGTTTCCTCGTGTGCAGAAACCGGGGGTCAGGGAATGGTTGCAAGTTTTCACCGAAATTCATGACCAAGGGGCTGGCAGCTCGCATGTGGCTTGTCCTCTCCTGGGGCCTGTCCTGCGACTGCCCCTGTGCAGACCAGCCTCTTCCCGTGCGGGGTCCCTCTGCCTGGTGGGCTCCTCGACCCCCTTTGAGGCAGGGAGTGAGGTAACAGTGCGATTCCCTCCGGAGGGCGTGAAGACAGAGCCGCTGGTGCTCCACACAGAGCAGCAGTGGGGTCCCAGTGCCAGGTTCTGTGTCGCTTTGGCTTGCTCCGTGGGTGTGCACACAGTGGCATCACAGGCCACATGCCGAGGTGTGGGCACAGCCACGCGGCACTCAGAGGTCGCCCCACGATCACACGCAGAGCTAGGCACTCCCTGTGCCCAGGCTGGGCTCCAGCCTCTCGCAGCTGCCCACGGGGTCAGCCTTTCCCGCTCTCGTTCTGCAGCCAGGACGGCAACCTTCCCACCCTCATATCCAGCATCCACCGCAGCCGCCACCTCGTGATGCCCGAGCATCAGAGCCGCTGTGAATTCCAGAGAGGCAGCCTGGAGATCGGCCTGGGACCTGCAGGTGAGGAGCACAGGGGGCCTGAGGGCGGGGTCGGGGCTGTGGGGCCAGAGGACAGTGGCGTCTCCACTCAGCACCAGCAGCCTTGGCAGGCAGCCAGAGAGGCAGGAGGAGCGGCCTGTCCCCCGGGGCTGCATGTGATGGTAATTGTGTTAATCCCAGCCAGCGGGGCAGACAGGAGGCAGAGGCGGTGGCTCCGCTGTGGCTGCCTCCACTGTGGCTGCCGTTGGGGTGGGCTTGGAGTGGCCGGGGCCCTGCCACCCCCTCTTCACAGAGTAGGCGTGGCCTCAGAGGTTCAGAAATGCACACCCTGGAGGAATGCACTCACTCCCACAGAACCGTGCAGCGCACGCCTGACTGGTCCCGCCTCCTAGGGCTCCGGGAGGAAAGGGGGTCCCCGGTCCCGCCTCCTAGGGCTCGGGGAGGAAAGGGGGTCCCCGGTCCCGCCTCCTAGGGCTCCGGGAGGAAAGGGGGTCCGGGAGGGAAGGGGTTCTGGGAGGGAAGGGATCCGGTGCCTGAGGGAGGTGCTGCTGCCTGGTCACAGTTGTGGGGGGATAAGGGGAATCTGGCACAGGACCTCAGAGGGAGGGGGCAGTTTGGGGACCCAGGCCCCCCTCAGAGGGCACTGCTGTAGAGAGGGGCACAGCAGAGCCTCAGCCCCAGGGCAGGCCGTGAAAGGAGGGGGTCACCCCTGAGGCCCTGTGGACCCCGGGCAGGGGTGTTCCCAGCAGGGCCTGCATCTCTTGGGAAGGTGGGGTGGGGGAGGCCGCCCCCATCTGTGTCCCCCGTCTGCGTTCTGTGCGCCTGGGAATGCCTTTGTGGGACTGGGTGGGGGCAGCTTCTGATGCCGCGTGGAGGACAGCTGAGAGGCGGTTGATAAAATCTAATTGCCCCATCGATTGGCAGAGCTGAGGGAGCCCCACAGTGATTGAGATATTCTGAGCCAGCAGGCCCTCCCTCTGTGCCCTCACACAGGGAGACCTCCTCAGGTACACGCGTGTGCGTGTGCAGGCATGTGTGTGTCTGCAGTCCTGTGGGGTGCACGTGATGGGGGCTGCCCGGCAGGTCTCACCCACGGAGTCAGGGCGTGTTCATGCACTTCCAGGCTCCTAGGCTCTACAGGGCCCGTGTGTCCTGTGACCCGTGTCCAGGTTTCCCACGCACACTCCATGTCAGGGCCTGGCTCGCTCCCTGGAGCTTCCTCTTGGAGGGGGCGTTCACCTCTTCTCCCTTCCTGTGTCCCCAGAAACCACACATCTATGCTGTTCCCAGCCCGGGCCCTCCCGCTGAGCTGCACCTCCCTGGGCCCTGGGCTGCGAGGGACTCAGAGCAGGTCTTGCATCTGCCTCTGTGAGACCGCTGGGGTCCACAAGTGAGGAGCGAGCGTGGCCTCATCGGCCTTCCTGCGGTCTCCTGGCAGGCCCCCTTCCCCCTGACTCCCCCACCCAGTCACCTCCCCCAGGCTATGAGGAGGCCTTAGCCCCCCACATGAACGGAAAGGGGAGTTTCCACGTGTAAAATGGAAAACTGATGGTCAGGAGGTGAGAGGCCTTGCTAACCCTGAGGGCATGTGCATGGTGGGCCAGGCAGCAGGTGTGGAAAAGGGCCAGGCTCCTCCAGCCTTGGCCCACCCCTCCCAGCCCACTGAGCTCTGGCACATCCCTGGATCCGTGCGTGGCCAGGTGCCCCCCGCCGCCAACGGGGCCCAGCCGCCCAATCTGTCACTGAGGCGGGGACCCTGGACCAGGCCATGGGACTGACCCTGTCTCTGGGGCCGGGCCTGACAGCGGCCGGGCCAGGATCAATAAGTTATTAGCACCGCTCTGTCAGCTGTAATGTGGGATTGATCGGTGTGGCCACCGCACTTCCCCAGCCTGATAAAAATGACAGATTAAGGGAATAAGAAAAAAGAATTAGGCCTGGAGCTGACGGCAGGGCTTGTGGGGGGACGGGCTTGGGAGCCCCACTGCCTAGGCCTCATGGAGGTCTTGGGTCACAGGGGGGTGGCCCCTCACCCCACCCACCTAGAGGCCACATGAGGATGAGGAGGGGCCAGAGTCGGAGGCACTGGCTGGCCCAGGAGACCCCCAGGGCGTGGAGTCAGGGGCTTGGGAGGAGCTTGGGGTAGGTCGGAGATGGGTACATGGATGGTATGGTCTGGAATGGGTGTGGTCAGCAGAACCCAAGGGAGGACCTCAGGAGAGTGGGCTGGGCCTGGCCTGGGCCTCCCCTCTGCCACCTGCTGGGCTGGCCTCCTGGCTGAGGAGGTGGGTGAGGCTGCTGGGAGGTGCACCCCAAGAGCCCAGAGCCTGGCTGGGCAGGTGGACAGGACGTGACAGCCACACTAGGGTGCTAGCTCAGGCAGGACTGGGCCAGAGAGGTGGACTTGGGCCTTCTAGGGGCAGGGATGGGTATGACCAAGTAGGAGGCCTGGGAGTGGAAGGGCCTCAAGGTGGCCTGGGGGGCCCACAGGCCAGTGACTCACAGAGCAGGAAGAGGTCAGGTGTGAGGTCCTTCCCAGCTTGTCCTACCCCATGCTGGCATGTGACCCTGCACAGCCTGCCCTCACCCCTGTCCAGGAGGGGAAGGTGCTGCCCAGTCCAATCAAAAGCTTTTTATTCTCCTCCAGGGGGATGATGGGGGGCTCATTAACTGCACAAGAAGCTAGGCTGGCGGGTGGGGCAGCTGGGTGCCTGCTGTGGATCTCTTCTGCACACATGCACCAGCACCAAGGCCAGTGTCAGGGCTCTCCTGGGCCCCTGCCCCACCACAGCCAGGCGTGATGTTCTCTGTGCTGAAGGCTGGGGCTCCCAGGGCTGGACAGGCCTGTACTTACCAGGACCAAGGGCCCCCTGAGAGATGGTGGGTGCTGTCCAGGCTGAGCTGGAGCAGGGGCTGGGTCCCCCTTCCACTCCTTGAGATGCAGGTAGGCACTCACTACCCTCCCGCAGGTGACCTGTTGGGCAAGAGGCTGGGCCGCTCCCCCCATATCAGCAGCGACTGCTCTTCGGAGAAGAGGGCACGAAGCGAATCCCCCCAAGGTAAGAGCGTGTCTCTTACAGGTCACCAGGGGAGGGAGCAGTCCCCAAGGGTCCCTGGACCTCAAGCAGGGGCTCTAGAGGGGGTGTTCCTCGGCAGTGCCTGGAGAAGCCTCTCACCCCGGGTCCTCCCCAGTAGAAGCACTGCTGCTGCCGCCAGAGCTGGGGCCCAACATGGCCCCGGAGGACCACTACCGTCGGCTCGTGTCGGCGCTGAGCGAGGCCAGCACCTTTGAGGACCCTCAGCGCCTCTACCACCTGGGCCTCCCCAGCCACGGTGAGGACCCACCCTGGCATGATCCCCCCCAGGAATGAGCCCTCATCACCTCCCCACCTACATGTGCTCGGCCATTCCTGTTGCTGAGGCTCTGCTGACTCCAAGGCCAGGCTGGATGCAGGTCCCTGGAGGGACCCTCTGCCCCACGTCCTGCCCCATGCCCCCTGGGGCGGGCCACACCTCCATGTCCTCCAGGCCCCTAGGCTCATGGGTGACTCACATTTTATATATGGAGAAATGGAGTCTGGGGTGGACCAGGTGAGGGTGGACGGTGGGCATTTCAGCAGCACCCCCGGAGGAGAGCTCCTGGACCCTGTAGTCTGTGAGTTGTCTCTCCAGCCGGGGGACGCTGACCTGCCAGATGCCTGCCCTGGGAGCCTGGGGAGGGGCAGTGAGCAGCACCGCCGGGCTGGGTGCAGCGGGCATTTTGCCACCAGGACTCCCCAAGTGCTGAAGAGACTCCAGCTAGAGGGGCTGCCCCTTCCCTCGGGTCGGCTCTGACCCTGTCCACCCCACCTCATGACGTTCTCCAGGGTCACTCCGGGATGCAGTCGGACCTCCCGCCCGCTGCACTCAGCCTCCCAGGCCCCAGCCGCCCGCCTGGCAGGGGAGCTTGGCTTTTCGGGCTAGAGGTGGGTGGGGGCGCCGGGAAAGGAGGCAGGATTCCTCACACCAGGCACCGTCCCCCAGGGCAGCTCAGGCACCAAGAGCCTGAATAATTCACCAAATGTTAATAATTTAAAAATCCTCCTTTTTAATTGCTTTCCCTGCTCTGCCTGGGGCCGCTCTGCTGGCCGCGCGGGGGAGGGGGCGCCGGCCGCCGGGGAGCGCGCTGTCAATCAGGCCGCGCCGCCGCCCCCGCCCCCGCCCCGCCGCGGAGCCGGCTGTAAATAACCCCGGCCGCGAGCGCGGGGGCGCTGGGCCCCGCTGGGATCGATGCGGGCGGCCGCGCCGGCTGGGCTCTGCGGGCTGGCACCCGGCCCGGGGCGGGACCCACCTCCGCTTTCGGGTAATTAATTTATAAACAGGCGGCGGTGGAGCTGGCGGAGCCTGCACAGTGGGGGCTGCGGGGACTCGGGAGGCCCGGGCCTGGGCGGGAGGGAGAGGCCGAGAGACCTGGGAGGCGGCGCCTTAGACGCGGGCGCTGCGGGCGCTGCGTGCGCATTGGGGCGAGTGTGGCCACGCGGGACAGTGACCCTGCGCAGCCGGCGACCCCTGTGCTAGTGTGGCGTGCGTGCACGGGCGCTGCCTTGCCGTTGTGACAAGCTCTGGCCGGCCGTGTCTACTATGGGGACCTCAGATTTTCTTGCCTCCCACCGAGGAGGGGGGTCCCCTGGGCGGTCAGCCCTGGCTGGCTCTGCTGGACTCTCTCGCTGCCCCGCAGGCGCTGTGTCCTCGGGACCTCTGCACAGCCCCCTCCCCGCAGGGCTCACCGCCTCTCAGGCCAGCGGCCTCCAGGCTCCCGGCTGCCCTTCGGGCTAGAGCCTTTCCCGACACTTCCCCGCCCAGCATCTTGTCTGCCGCCCCGGCCCTGTGGCCGCCCATCCTCCTGCCCCGTGCCCGAAACCAGCCCTGGGCCGAACGCGGCCGAGTGCTGCGGTTACTTCCCCACCTCCGTGTTCTACGCTAGGACGCGGGCTGGGGAAGGGGGGCGCATAGCCGGGGGTCACTGCTGTTGTCCCCCACCCAGATCTCCTGAGGGTCCGGCAGGAGGTGGCAGCTTCAGCTCTGAGGGGCCCCAGTGGCCTGGAAGCCCACCTGCCCTCCTCCGCGGCAGGTCAGCGTCGGAAGCAGGGCCTGGCTCAGCACCGGGAGGGCGCCGCCCCAGCTGTCGCCCCGTCCTTCTCGGAGAGGTACTGGGGTGGCTGCCATTCTCTGCTTCTTTCTGGGGTACGACCCGCACCCCACGCTCTCAGCCACCAGCACGCGCCCCGAGTGTGCCAAGCACTGTGTTCAGGTCTAGGTTCGGGTCCGGGCAGAGCGTTTCGGGGGTGACACCGCTCTGGGCTGCAGTGTTGAGGGCGCCACTGGGGTGCGTGAGAGAGGCTGAGGCCGGTCCGGGGGTTCCCTGGAGGAGAAGCCAGAGAAGGGGAGAGCTCCAAGGCTGGAACCCCGGGGTCAGTCGGGAGGGGTTGGCCAGAGGACTCAGAGCTGGAGGCGGAGAGGGTCCTGGCTGGCGCTCAAATTCAGACGCCGGCGCCGGATCTGTTCCCGGCACAGACAAGGCCTCCGGCACAGACCCGAGTTTCTGGGGTCCAGGAGACAGGGCGGGGCGGGGGCGGGGGTCCTGGAGAAGGGAGGGGCCGCCTGAAGACCGAGTCCCCGCCCGGCCGCTGAGCCCGGCGTCTGCAGCTGCCTCCACCGCCGCCCGGATTGCGGCTAATGACGCCCCCGCTTCCCCCGCCGCTCGGGTCCGCAGGGGAGGGGAGCAGGCGGGGCCGGCGCCCCGCGCAGTAATTACCGCTGCAGCCGCCGCCGCCCGCCGGGTCAGCGCCTCCGCGCCGCCGCCGAGATTAATTGGCGCCGCCGGCGGGGGCGGGGATGGCGCGCGACCTGGGGCCGTAACGAGCTACGCATCGACCGCCCGCGGGGCCGGCAATTAGCGGAGGCGGCGGGGGAGGGGCGCCGGGGCCTTTACGGGAATGGGGGGGGGGGGGGGGCGCCGCTCATTGCGCTGCCGTCCACAGGGAGCTGCCGCAGCCGCCCCCCTTGCTGTCGCCCCAGAATGCCCCTCACATCGCCCTGGGCCCCCACCTCAGGCCCCCCTTCCTGGGGGTGCCCTCGGCTCTGTGCCAGACCCCAGGTGAGGAGGTGGGTGCGCGTCCCTTGGGATCCGCGTGGAGTTCCGCGGACCCGTCCCTGCCCCTGTCGGACCGAGACGGACGGGGTCGGGGGCTGCGAAGGGCGGACTCGGACCCCCGACCCCGCGTTGTCCCCTCCCCACCAGGCTACGGCTTCCTGCCCCCAGCCCAGGCGGAGATGTTCGCTCGGCAGCAGGAGCTCCTGCGGAAGCAAAACCTGGCCCGGTAGGTGCGGGGAGGCGGGCGGGCCCGCGCAGCCCGGGAGGCGGCTGACCCGCGTCTGCCCCCGGCCCAGGCTGGAGCTGCCCGCCGACCTCCTGCGGCAGAAGGAGCTGGAGGGCGTGCGCCCACAGCTGCTGGCACCCGAGGCCGTCCTGCGCCCCAACGACGGCGCCGAGGAGCTGCAGCGGCGCGGGGCCCTGCTGGTGCTGAACCACGGCGCGGCGCCATTGCTGGCCCTGCCCCCCCAGGGGCCCCCGGGCTCCGGACCCCCCACCCCGTCCCGGGACTCTGCCCGGCGAGCCCCCCGGAAAGGGGGTCCCGGCTCTGCCTCGGCCCGGCCCAGCGAGTCCAAAGAGATGACGGGGGCTAGGCTCTGGGCACAAGATGGCTCGGAGGACGAGCCGCCCAAAGACTCGGACGGAGAGGACCCCGAGGCGGCAGCTGCTGGGTGCCGGGGGCCCACTCCGGGCCAAGCTTCAGCTGGAGGGGCCGGCGCCGAGGGGAAGGGGCTTTTCTCAGGGTCCACACTGCCCCCTCCGCTGCCCCTGGGCTTCCCCTATGCCGTCAGCCCCTACTTTCACACAGGTGGGCACCCCCACACTCTAGATCCTTCCAGAGGCCACAGGACTGGCAGGCCGCCTGTGGAAGGGTCTTGGGGGAAGGGGGGCCGTGGGGAGGAAAATCCCACTTAGGTTCCCATCCTACATCTGAGAAATTGGGGCACACGAAGGTCAGGAGACGGGCGGGTATTGGAAAGCCAGCCAGAGCTCTAGTAACGTGCCCCACAACTTAGGCGCCGTAGGGGGACTCTCCGTGGATGGGGAGGAGGCCCCAGCCCCCGAGGACGTCAGCAAATGGACCGTGGATGATGTCTGCAACTTCGTGGGGGGCCTGTCTGGCTGCGGAGAGTACACTCGGGTAAGGGGGGGGCCATTCCCCGGGGCAGGACTGGAACTGACACTCACTTCTTCCCTGGAAAGCATGGTGGGGTAGGGCTATTCCCCGACGTCCTCTCCCTCCCTAAAAGCGCGTGGCAGGCACAGGGCTATGAACCCCACCTTTTTTTGCCAGGTGTCTTTTGCCTGACACCGACTCAAACCCAACAGAGCATTTAAAACAATTTCTGTGAGCTGCACAAACAGTTCTGCTTGGCTTTCCTGGGCTGGAGGATGAAGCAGGCACCCGGGTCCTGACCCGCCCTCTCTTCCAGGTCTTCAAGGAGCAGGGGATCGACGGGGAGACCCTGCCACTGCTGACGGAGGAGCACCTGCTGAGCACCATGGGGCTGAAGCTGGGGCCCGCCCTTAAGATCCGGGCCCAGGTGAGCTGCGGGGGAGTGAGGTCAGGATCTCCAGACCACAGCTGGGCAGAAAGCTCTGGGTGGGTGTGCGCCAGCCCCCACCAGGCCCTCTCTCTGCAGGTGGCCAGGCGCCTGGGCCGAGTCTTCTACATGGCCAGCTTCCCTGTGGCTCTGCCACTGCAGCCACCAACCCTGCGGGCCCCGGAGCGAGAACTCGGCACAGGAGAGCAGCCCTTGTCCCCCAAGACGGCCACGTCCCCCTATGGAGGGGGCCAGACCCTTGCTGGTCGAGCTTCACCCAAGCAGGAGAATGGGACTTTGGCTCTACTTCCAGGGGCCCCTGACCCTTCCCAGCCTCTGTGTTGAGGTGGCCGGGGGTACGGGGTGGGGCCACACAAATGTGCAGGAGCCACCACTCAGTACAATGGCCCTGCCTCCCACAGCTTTATTTCTTTTGGTTCTGGATGCAAAACAAAAAATTTTGAAGGAAAATGTGACTTCAAAGGAAAGGAGGAAATTTCCAAAGACTTGGGGGAGTGAATGTAGAGCCTGGTGCGGCCGAGGTCTGCAGATGGAGGGCAGAGGTGGTGGAAGGGGCCAGGGGTCTGCAGGCCTCCCCCTGGAACTAGGACTGGTCTAGTCTCCTGACATCAGGGTCATCGTCTCCCGCGCGGAGCTGGCTTCAGCCCAGAGCTGTGGGGCTTCAGCAGCCACGCCAGCCCAGCACAGCTCTCAGTCCGTTTGGTCTTCCATGCTGAAAAATAAATAAAGCCTGTCCCCTGTCTACTGCCTCCCCCAGCTGCACACACGCCAGCCTCTGGGCCTGACTGCCAGAGAGGTGGGAACACTGGCCATCAGCACGGCAGCCCCTGCAGGCCCCCAGATGGGCTGCCTTAGTCTTCTTCGGAGAGCTGCAGAGCCTCCAGCTCATCCTCCGGCCCCTGGGCCAGCTGCTGCAGCTCCCCAGGGGCCAGCCCCGCCTCTGCGTCTGGGTCTCCATCTGTGGGGAGAGATGGAGGCCACATAAATTCCGCTTTATCAGGAAGAAGCCAGCCTTGGAGGTTACTCATCACTAATTAATCACGGCACTAATTAATTTAGCCCTGCCGCTGTTGCTGGCTGCCAGAGCCAGAGAGAATAGAGCATTTGGCCTCCCCAGGGAGGGGAAAGCCTGGCCCCGAGCCCCCCGCCCACCTCCCCGCCCTCCCGCCAGATGGGATCACAGGGCCACACCCCCTCACCCCAAGACCATTCACCCTCCGAGTCGTCCTCCTCATCCTCTTCCACTCCATGCTGAGTGCTCAGGGGCCCCAGGGTCTCGTCCTTTTCCACCCCATGCCGAGTGCTCAGGGGCCCCAGTATCCCTGAGGAACAAGGAGCAGAGCCCATGTGACTCCCACCCACAGGGTCCAGCAAAGTCACAGCGAGGGCAGGAGGGTGGCCAGGCTCACAACCCTGCCTGGATGCCCGCCCTTCCCTCCGCTGACTCCAAGCAGGTGGAGAGGAGCCCTGGGGAGGAACTGGGAGGTCACAGGCCTGGGGACAGGGTTACCAATCCCAGTAGGCCTTTACTTCGAGGGTCACTAGCACCAGAAGCCTGGGAACACGGAGGTTGGCCCCAGCCGGGCCAGAGACTGGTGAGCCCCGCAGGGTGGCCACAGACGGCCCTCGTGGCTCTGGGAAGTCCAGCAGAGCCCTCCAGGCCAATCCTTCCCCTGGAAGCACCACACAGGCCCCACCTCTCTCCGAGAAGCCCTCAGTGTCGTCGTCCTCTTCAGAGCTGTTCAGGTCAAAGAGGTCTTTAAATTCCTGCCTGTCCTCATCCTTCCTGTCAGCCACCTTCCTTCGTTTGATCTCAGGGAAATTCAGGTCTTCCATCTGGAAGGCCAAAGAGCCAGGGGCTCAGGTGGGAGAGGGCAGGGCTGACGGCCACAGCTGGGCCAGGCATCGCCAGACCCACCACCAACACCGTGTGGCCAATTTCGAGTCCCCTCTCTGTTCCCCAGTCAGCACAAAGCCATCCTCCAGGTTACCCACCCCATGTCCAAGGTCAAAGGCAGAGCCCTTCCTGCTTCTCCCCACCTGCCGGCCGGGGTGGCAACGTCAGTCCGGCCACTCCACCTGCCCAGAGCCCCCAGCCCATCCGGCCTGAGGGGGTGTGGCCTCCCCAACCCAGTGCAGCCCCGGGCTTCCCCTCTCTGGAAACACCTGGCTCTGGTCAGTTCTGCAACACCTACCCCCTCTCCAAGTTGAATCATCTGGGCACTGCCCTGGCAGCGCAGCCCAGTGCCATGGCCCCGGCCGCCTAGCACTGTTTCCAAACCCTCACCCTGGCCGCAAAGTCTCAAGTCACAGTCCATGAGCTAGATCTGAAAACCCAGCAAGTCACACCACACCCCAGGCCCCTCCCAAGCCGCACCCGCTCTTTTCCACTGATCTCCAGCTGGATCTCCCGGTCACGCAGCTTGCGCCAGTGGCTGTAGTACCAGGTCAGGGGGGTCCCCTCTTCCCGGGTCAGCTTCTCCCAGGCTTCCTGGGGGGTTGGGGGAGTTCAGGGTCATGCCTTACCCTGGGCAAACCCCCACATCCCAGCTACACCCCTGGCAGGTGCCCTCAGGTGGCACTACCCCCCAGGTTCCACTAACCACTGCCTGCTGGTCAGACACGCCAAAGGAAACCCTCTGGCGGCGGCTGCAGATGTGCTCCGAGTTCTCCTGAACCTTCCCAAGCAACTGCTGCACCTGCCGGCAGTAGTTGGCCACCTTGCACTCCCGGAGGAAGGACTTCAGCTGTGGAAGGGAGGGGTCAGCCACTGAAGCCCAGGGCTGCTCCATGTGCACAGCTGGCCCAGGTCCCGTGCAGAACCACGCGTGGTGGCCACGGGGATACCCCAGGAGGGAACTCAATCTCAGGGCTCAAGTGCATAGGTGTTGCGGCTGGGGTGGCAGACGCAGAGTCACCCCACCCTCTGGGCCAACGCTGCCCGCCGCCACCTCGGGAAATAAAGTTTTATGCCGGGCGCGGTGGCTCACTCCTGTAATCCCAGCACTTTGGGAGGCTGAGGCGGGTGGATCACCTGAGGTCAGGAGTTCAAAACCAGCCTGACCAGCATGGCAAAACCCCGTCTCCACTAAAATACCAAAAATAGCCGGGTGTGGTGGTGGGTGCCGGTAAACCCAGCTACTCCAGAGGCTGAGGCTGGTGAATTGCTTGAGCCCAGGAGGTGGAGGTTGCAGTGAGCCGAGATCGCACCATTACACTCCAGCCTGGGCAACACAGCGAGACTCCATCTCAAAAAATAATAATAATAAAATAGTTTCACTGGTGTGTCCACTGCATGGCTCCTGCAGCTGCCTGAGCAGCTGAACATCTGTGGGAAGCAATGTTCACCATTTGGCCCCTTACCGGAAACATTTTCTGACCCCTATTCCAGACCCAACCCTGGGCCCTGGAGTCCAGAAGCAGAGATGCCCCAATGCCGGGCATCGCCACACAAGAGGACACGGGAGGAACACAGACTGAGGCCCCTGCTCTGAGTGCCCCCGGAAAGGGGGTCCCGGCTCTGTGCCTGTGACACGTGACACGTGTGTGTGGCCATGTGTGACTGAGTACACACACACACACACACACACACCCCTGTATCTTGATGAGCCTCTGACCAGTTGTGGCTCAGGTGGGCAGACCCCTCCTCCCCACAAACCTGTAATTGGCACATCTGATTCTAGCCACCAGGGCCAGACATCAGGGCCTCCACCCCTCCCTTTGGGCACAGGCCTCCGAGGCTGGAAACATCAGGGCTGAGAGCAAACAGGCCTCCCGTGGACCCCGAAGGACCTTCTGAGGACAAGGACAAGCCCCTCCTCCGCCCTCCTCCGGCCTACGGTGAGGCTGACTTGGGGCATTTGGCGAGGCAGGCCGGGCCTTGCAGCCACTGAGAAGCCACTCCACCCACTCCCCACACCCGGGATGGCCCGGGGAAGTGTGCGGTCAGGGCACCAGACTGAGCCAGGGTCGGCACACTCAGTCCCAACCCCGAAGTGAAGATCAGCCTTGTGGCTCCCCCCTGGGAGGAGGCTGTTGTACTCCCAGGGTCCTCAGCCCGCTGCCCAAGCCTGCCCGCAAACCTAAATGGCTTAGAACCCCTTGTCAGAGTCCCATGGCCCCCAAGGACACCCACAGGCTCCCCATCAGCCCCTCCACGGCCCGGGGTGGGGGCTGCCAGCACGGAGCCTCTACACCAGTCGGGCTCTGCCCCGGCCCCAGGTACCCGGGACAAAGACACCCCTACCAGCCCGGGGCAGCCGGGCCCATTACAAGACAGGATGAGTTGGCCACAAGCTGGTGTGGGCAGAACACACACCTGCAGGACCACGGGCAGCGCCAGCTCCGGGAAGCCGATGCAGTGTGCCTGACTGTGCAGGTACTCCAGGGTGAGGTCGTACAGCTGCTCCACCAGGCCGTCCTGAGGAGCAGGGGAGAGGACTGAGTGCGTTAGGGAGAAGCAGGGGCTGGCACTCAGTCCCCTCCACTCAGGCTATCAGGTCAGCCTCATCTCCAGAGCAGGGACTGCAAGACAGGGCCCTGGGCCCCCAGCCCTGATAGACCATGAAGGTCCATACTTGAACTCGGAGGATGCCAGCCCCCTCCCATTCACCTCAGCACCCCCAACCCCACCCTGGGAACTGCCCAGGCCCCTCCCCAGGAGGCCAGCCTCACCCGGTAGGCCTTCTCCTGAAGGTTGACATTGGACAGCTTCAGGATCACAGAGAAGTTGATGGGCTTGGAGCTCATGCGCCCCGGCTTCTTGTTGAAGTCGACCTGCTGGAACATCTGGCCCGAGGGCCGTGTCAGGCTATCTTGGCCCTGTGCCTGGTCACCCTGGCTGCACCCTGGTCCCCCGATCCCCTGGGCCCCACGCCTGGTCCCCCGGTCCCTTTGGCCCTGCGCCTGGCTGCACCTTGGTCCCCCTTGTCCCCTCAGTCCCGCGCCTGGCTGGACCTAGTCACCCTGGTCCTCAGGCTTCAGCACGAGGAGACCCAAGCTGAGACCATAGATGGGCAGCTAGGCATGGTCCCAGCCCCGTGGCCTCCACGGCCTGCTGTGTCCCTGAGTGGGGTTCTAGTCAGCAGCGCCGGATCAGGAACACGGGTCCTTTCCCAGAATCCTGGGAAGCACTAAGGACCCGCGTCTGGAGACCTAGAGGTCCCTGCCACACAGAGTACAGGACAGCCCCCATTCCCGACAACGTGGCACTGAGGCCCGTCCTGGCCCTCAGCACGGCAGCACCACACAGGGCTCTGTCCTGAGCAACCAGAGGATGCAGCAGCAACAGCGAGGAGTGCCAAACATAGGAAGGGATGGAGAGAGGCCTGGGGGGCCCCCCTCCCACATCCTCCACAGAAGCCACAGGCTGTACACCTCCATAGAACATGCCAGGAGAAGGAGTCTAGCCCGGCCTCTTAGTCTTGTGACCCCTCCCCAACCACCAGGAGACCCCTCACACAGGGGCCCTCAGGCTGTGAACCATGGAGATTCAGGGTACATGCTGAGGCACCCAGAGAACAGAAGGTTATGGGGGGCCCAAGGGTGGAGGCCCCAGCAAGAGACCCCACTCAGCAGGGGTGGCTGCCAGACAGCTGAGCTCAGGTCCAGATGGAAAAATGCCCTGGTACTGATGAGCCCCTGGGAGGGCACTGCCCTTCTCTAGCCTGGGCCGAAGTATGGGCGGGCCACTGGCTTCCTGCCCAGGCACCGGGGAAGGGCGGGCACAGCCTACAACTGAGGGCTTTGCTTTAGCCTTTAGGGTTTGCTTTTTCCGGAGAGGAGAAGCCTGCATCCCTGCATGAGAGGGGCCTGCGGGGTGCGGCTGCAGTGAACCAGAGCAGTGCAGAGGTGAAGAAACAGACACTGCAAGAGAGCAAGAAAGCCGCCGCCGGGGAGACTGAGCAGAGCGGACGGACACAAAACATGCCTGGAGCTGGGCAGCAGAGCTGGAGGCCTGCACACACAGGGGCCAGGACAACGGCTGGGCAGTCAGAGACCACTGCTGGCTGCCGTAGAAGTGAACGTGGCTTCCTAAAGATGTTCAGCATCCCTGCCTCGGTGGAAGGGGAATCAGGACGTGCCTGGGGCTTCCATACCTTCTGGACCTGGCAACCTGGAGACCTAGCCCCCAAAACAGCTGTGACATGACTCTGGGCCTTCATGAGGCTGAGAACTAATTAGATAAACAAAGTGGACATCGTGAAGTCCTAAATTTATGGTGGGCTGGGGCCTAACCCACCCACTGAATGTCGAAACTTCAGACTCCAACTTTTCCCTACCTGAGTGGCACGTGTACATGCAAAGATGCATGCACACAAGTATATACAGATGCATGTGCATGCACACAGGTGCACACATGCACAGGTACACACACGCAGATGCACAGGCATGCACCCAGGTGCACACACACACAGGTACACGCATAGGTATGCACAAGTGCACACATGCACAGGTACACACACGCAGATGCACAGGCATGCACCCAGGTGCACACACACACAGGTACACGCATAGGTATGCACAAGTGCACACATGCACAGGTACACACATGCAGACGCATGTGCAAGCATACAGGTGCACACACACAGATACACGCACAGATACGCACAGGCGCACACATGAACAGGCACACACACAGGTACACACAGATACGCATAGGTGCACACACGCACAGTATACATATGCAAATGCATGCACAGGTACACACATAGGTACACACACATAGACGCACATGCATGCACCCACGGATGGTGCACACACATACGCATGCATGCACAAAGGTGCACACACAGGTCCACACACGTAGATGCATGTGCATGCATACAGGTACACAAAGGCATACACACGCAGCATGCATGCACACAGATGCACGTGTACAAAGGTACGTGCACAGATACACGCAGACACGCATGCACACAGGTATACATATGCACATACCTGCAAGCACACAGGCATTCATGGATACACGTGCACACACACATGCACATATGGAAACATGCACACATGGACCGATATGCGCACACAGATTTGCACACGCATGTGCACACAGATGGTGCACTCACACACATGCATGCACGCACAGACACAAACGCACTCACCCACAGATGTACACACCCCCCCATACAAATACATACACATGCACACAACTGTCGGGGCAGAGCCTTGCAGAGGGTACAGTTCAGCAATCAGACTGGGGTTTTGGCCCCGCTCTCCTGCCAACTCGTCTTGGGCAAGCACCTATAGGGTCAGGGCCTGGCATCCTCAAGCGCAGCCCTAGCAGCAGCTGTTTTCATCTCCAGAGGCCCCACGTCCCCCAACACTGCCCCCGGCTTGCGGAGGAGCACCGTCCTCAGGACACCGGTGACAAGGACCAACACTGCCCCCAGCTCGCCGAGGAGCACCGTCCTCAGGACCCCGTGACAAGGAGGCGGCCAGGGCTCCGGGAGGTCGCGGGACAACTCAGCACAGACGCCCTGAGCGGCAGATGCTCCCCACAGGAGCAGGCAGAGGGGCCGCACACCCACCATAGCCCCACTCACCTCCAGGATGAAAGGCAGCACTGGGATGAAGGCCCCCGAGCTCCCTGAGAGCAGCGTCAGGGCACGGATGCAGTGCATTCGCAGTGGGTAGAAGCGAGCAGTGGGGATGAGCCTGGGGGTGGGAAGGCCGAGTGAGCAGAGGCCCCAGCTCTGGCAACCCCTGCCCCTCCCCCTGCCGTCTTGGACCCCCTCCCCGCTCACTGGCATCAGATCCCTCAAGCAGGACAAGGCAAGTCTGAACCCCAGGGGACCTGCACCCCTTGCTCAGCTGTGGGGCTGCAGGCACCTTACCCAGCTTTCAGCTTAACTTCATGTTAACACGGTGCCAGGGGTCTCATCTGTTCCTGCCTCCTCTCCTCTCCATTCCTGCTTTCCTGCTTCTTCCCTTCGACCTCCCACCTCCCTTCCCAGCTTTGAGTTTCTAAGGCTCAGCCAGACAGACGCCCCCTCCTGGCCAAAGAGGCCACAAAAGCATCCGGCCAAAGTGCCGCTCCCACCTTTTCCTGCTGCAGCCCCTACCCTGCCCGGACCCTCCTGAGTGCTCACACCCAAAATGCAGCTCACTGCATCAGATGTGCTCCACCCATAAACCCCACGTAATGAACCAAACTCACTGTAAACTGCACACAAGCCCCCAGAACACACGCTGGTGGCACCCGAGGCAGCTAAACCGCTGCTGGAGCAGCTCATGTCACAGGGGCCCACCAGCCCAGCTCTCCAGAATCCAGTGCATCTCCCTGTAGCAGGTACAGGGACCCCAGCCCTTCCTCAGGGACGGCCAGGACACAGACTCAGGCCTCAGGGCCCTGAACGCCAGAGGTACTGCCCACACAGTCCCAGCAAATTTGCTTCTCCTGAGCCTCCTGGATAGCCCTGCCCACCCCACAACTCACTTGATACAGCCAATGATGACCTGGGCAAGGGGGTAGACCAAGGGCTGGAGAGCTTCGCTGGGGCCCAGAGTGCTCAGGACCCGGCACCACAGGTAGAGGCAGTGCACGTACTGCCAGTTGTATACAGACTGGTACGTTTCCTGATCAGAGAGAACCACGTCAGCCACTGGCCAGGCTGACCGGCCGGGCTGACGCACATTCCTCCTGGGCTGGCACAGGAATCATTTCCTCACCTCGCACGCGGGGTCTCAACCCATCCACCCTTCCTCGACCTGCGAGGACCGACTGCACCGAGGTGCTCGGCTGTCTCCAACAGACGGGCTTCGGGGAGGCCCCAGGCCCTGCCTTGGGTCAAGCACCTGGGCTGCCCCACCCCATGCCCAGCATGAGCCTGGAAGGGCCCACCACACACCTTCTTACGGGTGGTCATGGCGTTGCGCAGGTGTATGGCGAGCTGGCGGACGTAGAGGAAGGCGTGCTGGTAGGCCACACCCGGCTCCAGGGCCAGCAGCTCTGTCAGGGTCCGCTGCATGAAACTGATGAAGGGGAGGGCACCAGGCGAGGTGAACTTGCAGTTCCTCACATACGTGATGTACATTTGCTGCGGAGGGACCCGGTCAGAGCCACCTGGGATCAGGGCCATGCACCTCCATCGCCCACTCCAGGCCCCCTGTGAACCCCTGGGCCTTTCCCTCAGAGCTGGGCCTCAAGGAAGAGCCGTAGCCCCTCGCACAGCCCCCACCCCCATGTGCCCACCAGCCTCAGGCCTGGGAGGAGGTGGGGCACAAGCTCCTGCTGCACACTGGGCCTGTCTGGGGGCTGAAGGTCCCCACATGCAGGCCACCCACGGCTGGGGGACGGGCAGGACTGTACCCTGACCATGGCCTCAGATGCCAACACCCAGTGTCCTCCTCCAGCCAGGGAGGCCCTCACCTGGGGAAGTTGTGTGAAGCAGGGTCCAGGGGGTGCCCTGAGAAGGCTGAGGGCTCTCTTCCCTGCCCACCACCCCCAGATGCTCTGTAAGACATTCGTGGTCCAAGGGCCCAGGTCTGCTCAGAGCCGCAGTGCAGGGCCCAGTGAGGGGCACCACCAAGGCAGCCTCCCCCGCCTCAGGCTGAGATTTCCAAAGCAGACGCTGAGGGACACAGATGCAGGGCCTCCCACTACCTTGAGGACGGGGCCGAGGAAAGTGGCCTTCTTGTGCCGGCAGATTCTGCTGAGGACCAGGAACGCCAGCACCCGCAGGGACTCCTCCCCAGTGCTCCATACGACCACCATTCTCTGCAGAAGGTCAGACATCACTGCTGGCCCCCCAGCCTCCTCAGCTGGGATGCCCCAGGGCCAGCACAGCCCTCCCCAGCCAGGCAAAAGCTCCCGTGGCCACCAGCTCTTCCCAAAGCACGAGGGAGCTGTGAGTTAGGAGCTCAGTTACAGAAGTAAACACAGAACAGGCGCGCTTGCTCCTCGTGAGAAGAGGACCACAAAAGCGTATGTCAGACACGCCACTGTATGTGAAATCACACCGGGAAAAGAATAGCTCACGTGGCTTTGCTCACAGACTGAGCCATGCTGCCCAGGCAGGTGGGGGTGGGGGCCAGGTGCTTCTGCGGCCTTGCTAGCCAAGTGGAGCCAGTGGAGCGTGGGCACCACCTGTGCCCTGGTCAGGAGTGGGATGTGGTGGGGGCAGCCGCGTGGGCCCCGACCCCATGACAGACAGGGAGGGGACTGGGCCGCCCACCTTGAGCAGCATGCGGCACTGCTTGGGGAAGGTCAGGAAGCAGGGCACCAGCACGCTGATGTGCTGCAGTACGGCCGCCAACACCGTCGTCTCCGCCAGACAGGACACCAGCTAGGGGCAGGAGGAGACAGTGAAGCCCCAAACCCACACATTCTGGGATACAAAAAAGGGCTGGACCACCAGATACAGCCAGGCCCCTGTGCCCTCCCCACCAGAACAGCACCTGTATGACCGAGCCCAGGTACGCCTTGATGTCCACACGGAGCTTCCCCCACAGCGGGCTGCTGGACGGCTGCAGCATCCTGCAGAGAAACCACCCATCCCTGTCTGGGAAGCCCCATGGCTTGGACGCAAGGCTGCTCAGCGTCTTGGCGCGTGTCCTGGCCAGCGCAGCCTCCACAACCCTGCAGAGACTCCCATCTCTCCTCTCGAGAAAGCTCAGGGACCTTACAGCCGGACGGACACAGGGGCTTAGCAGGACCCTCTCAAGGGCACTAGCCCCTCCTTCAGTGGCCCTGAACTCCTGTCTGTCCTGGCCCAGGGTTGGCCGCCTCCCTGAGAGTCCCCAGAAGTCCCAGCCTCCAGCTCCATCTCTCAGACATAAACCTTTTCTAAGTCCCCTTGATCATATCCCCACGAGACCACATGAGGCCCCTAAGCCCAGCAGCTGGTACTCGGTGCCTCTGGGGTCTGCCAGGCACCACCAACTGCCGCAGGCTGGTTTCCTTTCGCCCACGTTTGCTGCACAAAGAAAAGAAAATCAGAGGACAGGTGTGGAGGCTCATGCCAGTAGTCACTGCACTTTAGGAAACCAAGGCAGGGGTATCAAACTCCGAGCCCGGAAGTTTGAGACCAGCCTGAACAACATAGTGAGACCCTGTCTCTACAAAAATATACAAAATATCATCCACGCCTGCAGGCTAAGGTGGGAGAATCCAGGAGGTAGGTGTCGCAGTGAGCTGTGGTCAGACCACTGCATTCCAGCCTGGGCAACATAGCAAGACTCTGTCTCATAAGCGAAAAAAAAAAAACCATTTACCAGAACCCATGCAGTAGGCGCTCACTAAAATCTGCTGAAACACGGGAAGGACAAAGGCAGGGCCCCAGAAAGGCCCCCCTGTCCTCAACCCTCCTCACACCTGTGTTGACACTGGCTGTTGGGCACCTGCTGCTGCTCCCCCACAGCCTGACTCCCTCTGGCACAGCTGCTGCCTTGACAGGGGTTCCTGACCTAGTGGCTCAGGCTGCTTGCTGTCCCCCAATCACTGCCTGTCCTCCACGCCCTCTGCCAGCTTCCCCGTCCCCTTCGGACAGCACTGCCTCCATGTGGACACAGCTCTGCTCGATCCGCCCAGCCCCGACCACCACCACCAGCAACAGTGCCCGTCTCCTGAGCCGCTGTCTCCTGCCCCCGAGGTGCTGATGGCGAGACCTCTCCCTTGGGTCTCCTTTCTTCCTCTGGAAGGTGTCTTGGGGCAATTTCAACTCTAGCCCTCCACTGCCTCAAGGTTACATGGCTGCACGGCCCCTGGAACCCCAATGTGACCCATGCTCTACCAAATGCTTGGCTGTACATCTCTCTCTGAAAACCTTCCACGGCCTTCTCTGCCCAACCTTCCTCTAAGGGGGAAGTTGAGGCCCTCAGGCCCCTGTCTACAGACACACGCAGCTGCAGGAAACAGGCCAGTCACAGTGCAGAGGTCAAGGAGCATGGACAGAACTTCCAAGGCCGTACGAAGGGGAAGAGAGCAAGCACCCTAACCTCCTAACCTGGGAAATTCTAAGCGCAAAGGCAGCCGCACATCCATACCTCCTGAGACTCTGAGCAGAGAACCTTCCTTTTCAGGAAGGAAGGAAGGTGGGGCCACTCCAACCGGCCCCAAGTGCCCAGCCTCTCCCAAGGGTCCCTCATGCCTCGTTGCCTTCTTAGGGTCCCCGAGAAGAGCCTGGCTCTGTCACCACATCTCTGTCCTGGCCACAAGGCCTCTGGCTTCTCCTGTGTGTAGTCCCAATCCCCCTTTCACTCCCTCCCCTCTTACCTGCTGCTGTCCTTTGCCGCCTTTCCAAACAGCAGCTTCTGGAGACAGCCAATAAGGTCTCTGATGCAGAAAGTGACCAGAGCATTGAACACTGCAATGAAAAGGCCTGGATGTACTCATGGGATACAGAACACAACAGACAGCCTGGATGCCAGGGTTCCCCCCAGCTCACCAGACAGCCTGGATGCCAGGGTCCCCTCAAGCTCACCAGCCTGGATGCCAGGGTCCCCCCAGCTCACCAGCACTGTCCGTGACCTGGAATTTGTTGGCCTCATCACTTTCCCGGTCCCCTTGGGTGGTGGCCACAGCTGCTCGGAACGCCTGTACCACTTCATGGAACAGCTTTGGAGTGAGGCGTTGCTGAAGGAGCAAGAGTACCAGGGGCGTCAGGGGAGCCAAGACTGCACTGGGCAGAGTGGAAACGGTGGCCCCAGAGAAAGGCACCCTCACCCTCAGACACAGGGCAGAGGTCGGGGGGGCCCACAGAGCCCCATACGGATAACAAAAATGGAAACCAAGTCTAGAATTCTCCGGGAAGGGGAGGGAGTCTGGCTCAGGAGCCCCAGGGAACGGGCTGGGGGTTCCAGATCCTGGACTATGGCCACCTCCAGGTGGTATCTGGAGCTCTCCCTATCCTTGTCCCTAGAAAAACCACTGAGAGAGGCTCAGAAGCACCCCAGATCCCCCAGCCAACAAAGGCACAGACAGTCCATCCCACCCACAGTGGGGCAGATTCTGGGGAGCCAGGCGCCGACAGAGCCCCTGGAATCTACCCAAAGGTGAACACACAGTCCTGGGGCAATCAAGCAAGCAGGAGGATCAAGGCGTAGTGACCTGCGCTGAAGAGGACTCCAGTGTCCCCTGCGTGGAGAAGAGCTCCTCCCACCAGCACAGCCTCAGGCACCCCAAGTGAGGCAAGGCCAGATTCCTGCCTAGGGCACCCAGCTGCCCACCCCTCGCTGCTGCTCACCTTTGCTGCCTGCTTCCATCTCTCAACCATGGCGAGGGTCACAGGAACACAATTCTTCCCCTTCAGTCCTCTGGGGACTCTGTCCCCATCTTCCCCCTCCTCTGCTCCATCCTCCTCCTCACTGGCTTCCTGCACAGAAAGGCTGAGCTGAAGGAGGGTGTAGAGGCCACAAGTGCCCTCCTGGTTCGGCCCATGCCCTCACCTCCAGCACATCCGGCAGGGCGTGGAACGGCTCCTCCTCCTCCTCAGAGCTGTCTGAGTCGCTGAAGTTTAGCAGGCTCTGGTCATTCTCCTGCAGGAACTTGTAGAACTCGGGGTCTCTGTCCTTCAGCCGAGACAGCTGGTCCTTGTGCTCAGAGGCACCGCCTTTACGCCGGCTGAGAAGGCACAAGTCAGCAACCCCAGGAGAAAGTGGAAGTAGAGGGGGTGGGGAGTGGCCTACAGGGTTAGTATGCTCCGTTCACGAGAGTCACCAACAAGCAAGGCAGGAGGATTGCCAGGAGGTATGTTTTTGGCAGTCCCATCTCTCCAACAGCCTCTACAACGTACGCTCAAATCCAATACACAGGACCCCCAGCCACGGTCTTCCCTGCACTTGTTGCACCTGTGCCATGCTCTATTCTGGCTGTTGGTAGCTTCACCCTTCCAAGGACCCAGACTAAAAGCAAACCTCTGTCTCTAATACCCAACACGCAACTTGTCATCAGATCTCATTAGCAACACCTTCAAAACTGTTCACGCCTCCTCTCAAACCACCAGAGTTCAACTCTCAGTTAACATAAAAGTCTCTCCGTTTCCACCCTTACCACCTACAAGGCACTCCACCGCTCAAACCCAGAAGTAACTTCCTGTTTTACAAGGTAACCTTAGGACAGTCTATGGCCCCGGCTCTTCATCACCCTTCCGGGTTCATCTGCTCCTACTCACCCGCTCACTCCTGCCAGAGCCACCACGTTTACCTCTGCACCCTCCCCAAATGCTCTCACCACACAGCCTTTACTGTTTCTGCTACCTGAAATCCAAGACATGCTCCCCCTACTGCCTGCGTGGCCTCCTCGCTTGAGGTCTTTATTCAGACATCATCTTCTCAGTCACCTCCACTTTTCTTTTCTTTTCTTTTTCTGAGATGGAATCTCACTGTCGCCCAGGCTGGAGTGCAGTGGTGCAATCTCCACTCACCGCAACCTCCGCCTCCCAGGTTCAAGCGATTCTCCTGCCTCAGCCTCCCAAGTAGCTAAGACTACAGGTGCGTGTCACCATGCCCAGCTAGTTTTTGTATTTTTGGGTTTCTTTCTTTTTTCTTTTTGAGACGGAGTCTCACTCTGCTGCCCAGGCTGGAATGCAATGGTGCCATCTCGGCTTACTGCAACCTCCACCTCCTGAATTCAAGCGACTCTCCTGCCTCAGCCTGCCGAGTAATTGGGATTACAGGCACCCACCACGCCCGGCTAATGTTTGTATTTTTAGTAGAGACGAGATTTCTCCATGTTGGTCAGGCTGGTCTCGAATTCCTGACCTCAGGTGATCTGCCCGCCTGGGCCTCCCAAAGTGCTGGCATTACAGGTGTGAGCCACAGCGCCCAGCCTCCGCTCCTTCTAACGAGCAACTCGGCTCCCCTGGCAATTCTCTCTCCAGCCTGTCTCTCCTTTCCCTCCCCAGCACTTATCTCTTCCACTGAACTGCAGGCGGTGATTTTACCCAAGACCGCCAGAGCTCTCCCAGATCGCGAAGAGACGTTTGCAGAACTCGCCAACATACGCTCGCAAGACATACATAGGACCGGGTTTGGCACGGGGCAGGAGCTCAGTAAACAACGGATGAAACAGTAAGTTAAGCTGAAGGGACTGGGGGTAGAGGTCGGAGGTCCTTAGGCCTTGACCCTGAGACCCCAGGCGAGGTCAGCAAACTTGCGGCGGGGTGGGCCAGGGCGAGCAAGGAGGTTCTGCTCACGCCTGTCCCCACTCACCTGGCCGAGGGACTCCCGCCCGGCTCATCCGGACTCCGGGCAGCCTCGCGTGTCTCCCGCGTGTCCGCTTCTGGGGAGTTTTCGGACTCGGATTCGGACTCGGAGTCAAAGCCCGAAGCTAGGAACTCGTCCACCGTCAGCTCCGCCAGGCGCCTGCGGGTCACGCAGGAGTCACAGCTGCCCGCAGGAGCAGCTCGCCCCAGCCCCGCTGAGAGGAGCAAGAAAAGCCCCTTGGATACAAACACCCACCGAGAGGCAGAGGCGGCCCTCGGACCCGCTGCTTACCTCTTGCGGCTCGGGGGAGCTGCCATGACACCAGTCCACAGCGTGCGCCCTACTTCCGGCCCCAGAATGCCGCGCTGCGGCGCACTTCCGCCGCCCAGGCCCCGCCCCGTTCCCCGCCCCGCCGTGCCACGCCCAGCCGAGTGGTTCTACGGTTCTCCGACCGCTGCGCCTGCTGTCTCCGGGCGGGAGGGCGCGTTCGCGTGCAAGGTGCGGGCAGCCCAGGTGGAGCCCCGATGCGCCTCCCGCTCGGCGCCCGGCTCAGCAGGACGCGGCGACGCCGGTGTCCGCCCCAGGGAAGAGAGACCAGGTGTCCCGTCGCGCCCGCAGCCCACCCGGCGCTCCGAGGGCACGCGCCTGCGAGGACGCCAGACTGCGACGGCGGGGCCCCTATGCAAAGAGCTCCCACGAATCAACAATAAAAAGCCGAGGGTCCAGTAGGAAACGCGAGGGGCGGTGGGAACCGCACTGATGTCGCCAACTCGACAAAAGACGGGCGACCCGAAGGCCGGGCTGGCTTCGCCCGATCCGCGGAGACCGGGCCAGCGCCACGAACACCGCGCAGGGAGCTCCCCGTCCACGGCCCTCTGGACGCCGACGGCGGCTCTTCTGCGGCCCTTCCCGGGGACGCCGCACTGGGTGAAAGCGGTGGGGAGACCGGCGCCTTCCTCCCTGCTACCAGCCTGACACCGGGGCCCGCGGGCCTGGACAGCCAGACCCCACGACAGGGGCGCCCTGGGGCGCAGGCGCGGCTCCCCCAGCCCTGGCGCTGAAGGGGCGAGTGAGGGACGAGGGCGGAGTGACCTCCGGGTCCCATTTGGCCTCTTGGTGCTGCGGGGACCCGGGGCTCCCCGGAGGAGAGCAAGTTAGGGGGTCGAGGGGGCGGGGATGGCTTCCTGGGGGAGGAGGAGGGCGAGGCTTGGGGGGGCTTCCCAGAGGAGAGTGAGGCCTGGGGAGCTTCTCGGAGGAGGAGGAGGGGGAGGCCTGGGGGTCTTCCCGGAGAAGGAGGAGGGCAAGGCCTAGGGGGGCTTCCCGGAGGAGGAGGATGGCGGGCCCTGGGGGGGCTTCCCGGAGGAGGAGGATGGCGGGCCCTGGGGGGGCTTTCCGGAGGAGGAGGATGGCGGGCCCTGGGGGGGCTTCCCGGAGGAGGAGGATGGCGGGCCCTGGGGGAGCCTCCCGGAGGAGGAGGATGGCGGGCCCTGGGGGGGCCTCCCGGAGGAGGAGGAGGGCGAGGCCTGGGGGGCTTCCCGGAGGAGGAGGAGGGCGAGGCCTGGGGGGCTTCCCGGAGGAGGAGGAGGGCGAGGCCTGGGGGGCTTCCCGGAGGAGGAGGAGGGCGGGGCCTGGGGGGCTTCCCGGAGGAGAAGGCGGGCGAGGCCTGGGGGGCTTCCCGGAGGAGGAGGATGGCGGGCCCTGGGGGGCTTCCCGGAGGAGGAGGATGGCGGGCCCTGGGGGGCTTCCCGGAGGAGGAGGATGGCGGGGCCTGGGGGCCTTCTTGGAGGAGGATGAGGGTGGGGCCTTTAGGGGGCTTCTCGGAGGAGGCGGCGAACCCGGGGCGCGGCGCTGGAAGGATCGGCGTCCAACATCTAGTCCTCGAAGCCTCTCGGGAGGCGGGGCGGGCGGCGCCGAGAAACAGCGGCTGCGGGCGGGAGCGGCGGGACTGAGCGACGCGAGCTGGCCGCCACCGCCGAGCAGCCCTCCGGCAGTCTCCGCCTCGGTTCGCCCGCGCGTCCTCCGCGAATCGGCGGCGGGTCCGGCAGCCGAATGCAGCCCCGCAGCGAGCGCCCGGCCGGCAGGACGCAGAGCCCGGAGCACGGCAGCCCGGGGCCTGGGCCCGAGGCGCCGCCGCCGCCGCCACCGCCGCAGCCGCCGGCGTGAGTGGGCGGGGGTCGGGGCGCGGGGGGCGGCCTCGGGACCTGCCCGGCCCCCGCCCTCGCGTCCGCTCGCAGAAGGGGCGGGGGCCGCTCCCGGGGGCCCGGGGAGGTCGGGACCCGGGTGCGGAGCGGGGTCGGCCTGGAGTAGCGTCCCCACCGGCGCCCCGCGCTCCCAGGTCGCCGCTCCCGCTGCGGGCCCGAGAGGGCGGCTGGGAACGCGGAGGAGCTGAGCTCGTGGGGGCGCCGAGGAGCGGGGCCAGGCGCGGGGCTCTGACGACGCCCGGGGGAGCAGGGGCGCAGCGCAGGCCTGGACACGGCGCGCGCGGGGCGGGGGTCCTTGGCGGAGGTCAGGCGAGGGCTGCCGGCGCCCCCGTCGCACCAGGGGTGGGTCCCCGCGGGCTGCCCGGGCACGGCCCAGAGTCTCCAGGGCAACCAAGGCGGGCGGGCAGCGCCAGCGGGGCGAAGCCTGACCCGCCCGCCCCCTGCAGCCCCGAGGCAGAGCGCACGCGGCCCCGGCAGGCTCGGCCCGCAGCCCCCATGGAGGGAGCCGTGCAGCTGCTGAGCCGCGAGGGCCACAGCGTGGCCCACAACTCCAAGCGGCACTACCACGACGCCTTCGTGGCCATGAGCCGCATGCGCCAGCGCGGCCTCCTGTGCGACATCGTCCTGCACGTGGCCGCCAAGGAGATCCGTGCACACAAAGTGGTGTTGGCCTCCTGCAGCCCGTACTTCCACGCCATGTTTACAAGCAAGTACCCGCCTGCGCGGCCCTGGGGACTCCGTGGGTCCCTCGGGTCAGCCCCTCTGACACGCTGTCCCCACAGATGAGATGAGCGAGAGCCGCCAGACCCACGTGACGCTGCACGACATCGACCCTCAGGCCTTGGACCAGCTGGTGCAGTTTGCGTACACGGCTGAGATCGTGGTGGGCGAGGGCAACGTGCAGGTGCGGCTGCCTCCCCTGGGCCCCGGTGAAGTCCTCTCAGCCAGATCCCGCTGCCCTCCACGTTGTGCCTCCCTCACCCGCATCTCGGTGCCCCGTAGACTCTGCTCCCAGCCGCCAGCCTCCTGCAGCTGAATGGCGTCCGAGACGCCTGCTGCAAGTTCCTGCTGAGTCAGCTCGACCCCTCCAACTGCCTGGGCATCCGGGGCTTTGCCGATGCGCACTCCTGCAGCGACCTGCTCAAGGCCGCCCACAGGTACGTGCTGCAGCACTTCGTGGACGTGGCCAAGACCGAAGAGTTTATGCTGCTGCCCCTGAAACAGGTAACAGCTGGTGGGCCCAGCCGGCGCCCTCCACCCCACCCGTTTTTGCTTTTGACTCCCGACCCCATTTTGTCCTGATGCAGCCCTGCTCACAATCCTTAGTGCCTGCTGTGCATCCCCAAGACCCTCCTGGATCGAGGCCCCCCAGGAGCCTCGTCTGTGGCTCCTGACTCTGCTCAGCCCCTCCCAGTATGAACACTCAGCCCCCACCCCCTAACCCTCCTCCTAGGCATCTTCAGGGCTCCCTGGGCCCACAGGACCCTCCCCAGATCTCAGGTCTGAGGACCTTCACCCCCAGGTGCTGGAACTGGTCTCTAGTGACAGCCTGAACGTGCCTTCGGAGGAGGAGGTCTACCGAGCAGTCCTGAGCTGGGTGAAACACGACGTGGACGCCCGCAGGCAGCATGTCCCACGGGTGAGGCCCGGCCCCGGGGGCTCCCATAGCATCCAGGAGGGCATGCAGGTGGCTGAGGGCCTGGTGCGCCCTGATCTTTCCCGAGTTCAGGGATTCCGTGGGGATGGTGCCCACCCTGTCTGAAGAAGAACCCGTCACACAGGTGGTACAGGCATCTGGGGGATTGTCTCAGCCCTGGGGCCCAGTGTGCCCGAGGGTCCCGCCTGAGCGTAGTGTTCCCTGCGCCCCAGCTCATGAAGTGTGTGCGGCTGCCTCTACTGAGCCGCGACTTCCTGCTGGGCCACGTGGATGCCGAGAGCCTGGTGAGGCACCACCCTGACTGCAAGGACCTTCTCATCGAGGCCCTGAAGTTCCACCTGCTGCCCGAGCAGAGGGGCGTCCTAGGCACCAGCCGCACACGGCCCCGGCGCTGTGAGGGGGCCGGGCCTGTGCTTTTTGCTGTGGGTATGGCTCCCCGCCCCTTTCCTTCCTGCCCTGTGCCTTCTGCTCCCCACCAGCACAAGCCCACCCCACCTGTGCCGGTCAGGTCCTGACCTGCCCCTCCGCCCCTCCATCCAGGGGCCTCTCCAGGAGCCCGGGGTGTGGCCCAGCAGTGGGATCCACTCACGAGTCCCGTCTCCACCTGCCCTCCCCAGGCGGTGGGAGCCTGTTTGCCATCCACGGAGACTGTGAGGCCTATGACACGCGCACCGACCGCTGGCACGTGGTGGCCTCCATGTCCACGCGCCGGGCCCGGGTGGGAGTGGCTGCGGTGGGGAACCGGCTGTATGCTGTGGGCGGGTAAGCCCGGAGCCTGGACTTGGGTCAGGTCTGGTGTGTGCCCCATGGGGACCGGCTGTATGCCGTGGGCGGGTAAGCCTGGAGGCTGGACTGGGGTCAGGTCTGGCGCATGCCCGCCAGGCCAGTCTTGACCTGCAGTGGGTTAATTCTGCTAGCTATGACGGGACCTCAGACCTGGCTACCGTGGAGTCCTACGATCCCGTGACTAACACGTGGCAGCCGGAGGTGTCCATGGGCACGAGGCGAAGCTGCCTGGGTGTGGCTGCCTTGCACGGACTCCTGTACTCGGCTGGCGGCTATGACGGGGCCTCCTGCCTGAACAGGTAGTCATTGGGGTTGGGGCTCCAGTGGCTTTGTAGGGTCCACCTCGCAAGAGGCGAGTTTGTGTCACCATCATGGAGGTCGTATCTGATGGGATGTTAAAGGGGGTGATCTGCGAGGCCGCTTCACCCCAGGCCACGGCCACATTGGGCCTGAACTGGCTTTGCTGCCCCAGTCCCCTTTCCTCTCTGGGATCCTTATCTCCAGTCCAGAGGCTGGGCCCAGGTGGGTGTACGCCCAGGCTTTTCCAGGCAGCCAGGGGCCTGTGCCCACCAGCGGGTCCTGGCTGGTAGGACTTTGTGGTCTGAGTCTCTGTGGCTCCTAGGGTAAGATTTTGGCCGTTCTGCTGGGGAGGGCAGGTCCTGGGGCCGGGACGCCTTTCTGTCTCTATTGAGCTGTGGCGGTCCTGGTGCCCACAGTGCCGAACGCTACGACCCCCTGACCGGAACGTGGACATCCGTCGCTGCCATGAGTACCCGGAGGCGCTATGTGCGAGTGGCCACGCTTGGTGGGTGATGGGGCCTGCCTGGGGGGAGTCCCCGCCTTCCCCCACCCTGGAGACCCCACTGCCAGCAGGAGTGCCACGGGCATGTTGACTTTCCGCAGATGGGAACCTGTATGCCGTGGGCGGCTACGACAGCTCCTCACACCTGGCCACTGTGGAGAAGTATGAGCCCCAGGTGCATAGTGCACCCCTCCTGGCCACCCCCTCCTGTGCGCTGCGGGGCCCTCCCCTCTCTGGTCACCCACATCCCACCCATTCCTGACACCCCACGCTGGAGGTGGGGCTGCGGCAGGGGAGGGATGCCTGTGGCGGGTCTGCCTCCAGCCCACACCCTCACCCCCAGGTGAACGCTTGGTCGTCCGTGGCGTCCATGCTAAGCCGACGCAGCTCAGCAGGTGTGGCCGTGCTGGAGGGTGCCCTGTACGTGGCAGGGGGCAACGACGGCACCAGCTGCCTCAACTCGGTAGAGAGATACAGTCCCAAGGCTGGAGCCTGGGAGAGTGTGGCGCCGATGAACATCCGCAGGTCCGCAGTGGGGCGGTGCTGCGGGGAGGGGGTTTTCCCCACTTCAGTGGGCATGTCCCGCCCCCACTGCTTCTCGTGGCGCGGCCCCTCCCCCCGCACCCCTTCCTGCAGCCAGGGGCTCACCCCGCCTGCCCCCCAGGAGCACGCACGACCTGGTGGCCATGGATGGATGGCTGTACGCCGTGGGGGGTAACGATGGTAGCTCCAGCCTCAATTCCATCGAGAAGTACAACCCGAGGACCAACAAGTGGGTGGCCGCGTCCTGCATGTTCACACGGCGTAGCAGTGTGGGCGTGGCGGTGCTGGAGCTGCTCAACTTCCCGCCGCCGTCCTCGCCCACGCTGTCCGTGTCCTCCACCAGCCTCTGACCCCCCCACCCCCAGAGGCCTGCAGCCTCCCACATGCCTTAAGGGGGCCGTGGCCCCCACCAGGGACATCTTGCATCTTCTGTTCACGTCTCTGCGTCCATTCCTTTGTGTCTATATTTAGTTGTTTATTTATTTAGTTATTTATCTTATTTATTGAGGGGTGAGCAGTGCTGCGGCCGCCTGTCCTCCCCTCCACTGCCTGCATGGCGGGCAGCTGGGAGTGACCAGGTGGGGGCCTCGCTGCCCCAGGGCCATTACCTGCTCAGACCCTGCAGGCCGCGGAGCCAGAGGCCCTGGGGCTTTCCAAGCAGCTGCAGACCCCAGCTCGAATTTTGCACACGGCGGGGTCCCGGGAAGGGTAGGGAGCAGGTGTCCTTCCTGTCGTCGTCTGCTTTGTGCCGTCTTCCCTGGATCTTGTAGTGGGTGCACACGTGTGCACTTGGGCCCCACACAGCAATACAAGCCCAACTTGAACAATAAACACATTTCTGGGCTCCTCAGGCTGAGCATCTCTCTGGCTTGTGGGGCAGCTGCGCAACTTTGGGTCCTATCTGGGGGTCCAGGGTGAGGGGCATGGGCAGGTGGCCTGAGATGCTGCACCGGTGTCTGGGGGCTACAAGGCAGAGCTGTGCATCCAGGGAGGGTGGGGGCCGTGGAGTCCCTCCCGCTGTAGGTGGGGTTTGCCTGGGCTGGGTCCTGAGGCTGAGGTCCCTGCCACGTCTTGGGCTCTGGGGGTGCGGTGGGGGAGGACAGCACTGCCCCTGCGTATGCTGACTGTCCTGGCCGCCTAGGTGGCACGTGGCCTTCCAGAGTCCCCTTAAGCCTTGAGGACCCTGACGGGTCTGTGGTGAGGGAGCCCAGGCAGGAGGGGAGGCTGGGGTGGCTCTGGCCGCTGTCTCCTACGCTGGAATTCCTGCCTCAGCCCTCCCTGCAGTCACCGGTGACTCAGGCTGGCCAGGGTTTAGATGGAAACAGGATGTGTGTGCACATTGTTGGGGGGTGCTGGAAGGTGGCCCCGAGTTCACAAAGCCTGAGCACAGGCAAGTGGGGTGCCCCTTGCACACTGGAGGCCTTGTCTGGGCCAGAGGGGAGATCACCCCAAGGCTGGCCCCTCGGTGTGGAGGACCCAGGGCAGAGACCTGGACGGCTCAGGTAGGGGCCAGGCCTCTTCCAGAAAGGCTCCACCCCCGCCCAGCCCTGGGTGACGGGTGGGACGTCCCAGAGCCCCGCCTGCCTGTGGGAGGCGGGGGCAGGAGGCTGTGGACAGGGACCCAGACTTGCCGACCTGCACGACTCTGGCCATGGGGAACAGCCACTGTGTCCCTCAGGCCCCCAGGAGGCTCCGGGCCTCCTTCTCCAGAAAGTCCTCACTGAAGGGAAACAGGTGAGCGGGGTGTGGGTGTGGCCACCTGGGCACAGGGCTCCCCCACCTGCTTCGGGGCCACGAGCTCCCTTGCCTTGTCCCCAGAGAGGACGGCGCACGGATGCCGGCTGGCCTGCTGGGCCCCGAGGCTGCTCGAAGCGGGGACGCCGCCGCCAACAAGCTCTTCCACTACATCCCGGGCACGGTGAGCGCGGCGCACGCGGTGGCTGGGGTCTGGGAGCGTGGCTCTGCCCGGGCGTGTGTGCCGCGTGTCCGTGCAGTTCAGGGTCTTCCCCTCGGCCCGGGGGGATTCAGACCCCCTTAGGTGAGGAGCGGACGCTGACTGCCCCGCCCTGGGGAGCTCATCCGGCCGAAAGTCTGAGCGGAGAGCGAAACCGCGACGCAGGACTGAGTCAGTCGGGAGCGAGCTGGGCGGGGCGGGCCGCGGGCGGGGCCTCCCGGGACCTCCTCCCGCAGGGGACCGGCGCACGCGTCTCTGTCGCTGCAGTGGGGCTGGGGTCGTGCTGGTCGTGTCACTTGACAGTAAGGGGCCTCAGGTGAGCAGTGAGCCAGCCGGCCACCTACGAGGCCTGTTTTTCCCGGGGTGTCCCGCAGGAAGCTGCTGCTGGGTACGGCGGCCCGGTCCACAGCAACCCTTCTGTGCACGCACGGGCCTCCTCCCAGCCTGCCAAGGCCACGCAGCAAGGAGGCATCTCCCGAGCACACACTAGGCCACCTGTCCGTGGAAGGAGCAGAAGAACCCCCATGCCCATCCCCCTGCCCAGGCCTCCATAGGACTAAGGGTCTTCACAGGGTAGATGCCCATCCCCTTTCAGATGTGCCTGGTGCTGGGTTGAGGGAACAGGAGGAGGAACCTGGCTTCAGGGCAGACAGGAGCCCCCACTGCACCCCTGTCAGGCAGCCTGGATGCTATGTGCAGGCCCTAGGAGCGTCTGGGGGAGAGGACCCCTGCCTTGCACTCCTAGGTCCAGCAGCTGGTGTGGCCGTGCAGACCCCGTCACCAACATGCCCCCGCCAGGCAGGAGGCTCGTGCCATACCCTCTCCTGACCTGCAGAGTTTCAGGGTTCCCTGCAGACAACAGGTGCTGGTTTCGGAAACCACACTGCCTCAGAGGAGTGGGCAGGCAGAGGGAGCCAGGCTGGCCTAGGAGTGGGGTCCCTTTGGCTGCATCTCAGACGCTACTCTCTCTGTCCAGGCCCAGGACATGCAGTGGGACCCTGGTGGGGTCCTATGAGGTGTGGTGGGTGGCCCTAGTGGTCCTCCCTTGCCAGGACATAGTAGCCAGAGAGGGAACCCGCTGAGCCTCAGGAAATGGGGCTGGGGGAGGAGCTCGGGACCAGTCCTGGAGCCAGTGCTCCTCTGCCCTGTGCCTGGGCTCTGCACCCAGTGCTGTGAGCTGGCTCTGCCGGCTCCAAGCTGAGTCCTCCCTGGGGCCCCGAGGCTGAGCTGGGCTGCAGAGCTAGCTGTGTGGCCCTTCCTGGTCTGTGGCCTATTTTTCATGGGTGCCTACCCGGCATCAGTTCCCACGCTGGGTGTGGGTACAGGAGGCCCCACCCAGAGGCGGGAGGCCGGGAAAGCCTATGCGTCTGTCTGTTCACATTCCTGGGCCTGCTCAGGGGCAGCTAAGCTTGGCCAGGGCACAGCAGCGCTGCAGGTAGCCCTTGCCAGCTCCTAGAGGGAGCAGGACACCTTCCCACTTGCCCCTGAGCCTGTGGATCACAGAGCTCTCCAGCCCCAGGTTCACACCCGTCCCCTTTCTGATCTCTAGCCTGGTGATCAAAGCCTGCATTTGTAGAGGACTGTGCCAGGATTGGCTAAATGTGGCATGGATGTGGATTCCCCTCCCCTCTCAGCACATGCAGTGATACCCACAGCACGTCCCAGGCCCTGTCTTAGGCTCTGGGGACACAGAAGTGAACGGAATAGACAACCCCTGTTCTCACGGTGCTCCCATTCCCACGGCAGAGACAGACGACGGGGCAAATAAATAGAAGATCCAGTGAGAAGGGTGGGGTTGGTGCTAAGGAGAAAAACAGAGGGGATGGGTGCAGAGGATCAGGGAAGGCTGGAATTTTAGAGGGGCTTTCAGAAAAGGACCTCTTGGAGCAGGTGATGTCTGAGCAAAGCTGCAAAGCGGGTAAGGAAGGGGGTCGGGGCTGAGCGGTCCCAAAGCGGGAAGAGCACATGCAGTGGCCGGAGAGCGGGGGTCTGACCCCTCGGGGCACTGCCAGGACCCGGCTGTCACTTGAGCAAGCGGCCAGCACACACTCAGGGGATCGACCCCAGAAATCTCCTCACATCTTTCAGGCTGGGGGCTGGAAATGGGCGGCACTGAGAACATTGACACTGAGGAAATTGACAAACGTTACAAATCAGGGCATTGGTGTGTTTCTGTGTCTGTTTTTTGTAGAACCAGGTGTTAAATGTTTACCAGCCAATACTGGAGACGTGGGAGGGTTTTGAGTGTTACCCAGACACCCCCAAATTCTTCTAACAAGTCTTCAGAGGTTGAATAACCAAAGACATGTTACACAGCTTAGGAAATAATGAAGATAGGATTTAATCCACTGAGTTCAAATCTCACCATCTCTACCACTAGACCAGGCAGCTCTAGCTCTGTGTGGGGAAGTGTGTCTGTGTGTGTGTATGCACGCACATGAGTGTGTGCACAAGTGTGTATGTGTATGTGTGCGTGTGTATGCACATGTGTATATGTGCGTGTGTGTGCACGTATTTGTGCACTGTGTATGTGTGCATGCATGTGTGTGTATGCATGTGTGTATATGCATGTGCACACGTGTGTGCACACGTGTATGTGTATACATGTGTTGGTGTATTGGTGTGTGGATGTGTATGCATGTATGCACATGTGTGCATGTGTGTGCAAGTGTACATGTGCATGTGTGTATGTATGCATATGCGTGCATGTATGTACACGTGTATAGGTGTGCATTGTGTATGTGTGCGCATGTGTACATGTGTATGTGTGCAGTGCATGCATGTGTGTGTACATGTGTATATGTGTGCGCACATGTGTATGTGTGCACATGACACGTGTATGTGTATACATGTGTGTTTTGGTGTATGTCTCTGTGTGTGGACATGTATGCATCTGTGTGTATGTGTGCAAGTGCATATGTGTGAACGTGTGTATCCATGCATATGCGTGAATGTGTGTGGACGTGTGTGGGTACACGTGTGTATGCATCTGTATGTGTCTGTATTGTGTGGCATGTGTGTGTCTATGTGTACGTGTATGCATATGTGCGTGTATGCATGTGTATGTGTGTGCGTGCATATATGGATACATGCATGTTGCCTGTATGTGCACGTATCGGGGGTGTGTGCATGTACGTGTACGCAAACGTGCATGTATGTATATATGTATGCACGTGTGTGTGTAAGTTCTGCCATGACTGTTTTCCTGTGGAGAGGCTGAGTGTGCAGGTTCTATGCCTGGGGGAGGCTGTTCTTCACATATGTGTTGGGTGGCTGTGCACAGGCAGACCATGCCTGTAATCCTGTAGCTGTGTGGATGCCAGCAGAGGGGGTGAGGGGCCCAGGCGAGGCCCCTCCTCTGAGCGCCGCTCCCCCTAGGACATCCTGGACCTGCAGAACCAGGGAGGAAACCTGGAGCAGCCATTCCTGAGTGTGTTCAAGAAGGCGCGGCGGAGGGTGCCTGTGAGGAACCTGGGAAAGGTCGTACATTACGCCAAGGTCCAGCTGCGGTTCCAGCACAGCCAGGTGGGGGCCGGGCCGGGCTGGGGGGAGCACGCTCCGGGTGCAGCATCCCCACCAGCCTGGGGCTCCCCAGACCCTGCACTGACGACCCTGCTGCCCGCGCAGGATGTCAGCGACTGCTACCTGGAGCTGTTCCCCGCCCACCTGTACTTCCAGGCCCACGGCTCGGAAGGACTCACCTTTCAGGTGAGGCAGTGGGCGGTGGGGGTGGAGCCATGGCCACCCTTCCCTCCGTGGATCCCTGAAGCTCCTACCCTGTGCCTGGCAGGGGCTGTTACCACTGACGGAGCTGAGCGTCTGCCTGCTGGAGGGGTCTCGAGAGCACGCCTTCCAGATCACAGGTGTTTGGGATGCTCCCCGGGCCCCCAGAGGCACTCGTGACCCAGGACTTGGAGAGGGGCCTGCCCTGTGGGCTGTGGGGCATGTGTGTGTATGTGTGTGCCCTCTCTGCCCCGCCCACAGGCCCGCTGCCCGCACCCCTCCTGGTGCTCTGCCCCAGCCGGGCCGAGCTGGACCGCTGGCTTTACCACCTGGAGAAGCAGACGGCCCTCCTTGGGGGGCTGCAACACTGCCACTCGGCACCGCCACAGGTCAGTGCCAGGGACCCCACGCCCCTCCCCACCCAGATCCTCGCAGCCTGCTCTGACCTCCTCCTCACAGGGGTCCTGTGGAGACGAGCTCCCCTGGACTCTGCAACGCCGCCTAACCCGGTTGCGGACGGCGTCAGGGCACGAACCCAGCGGCAGCGCTGTCTGTGCCTCAAGGGTCAAGCTGCAGCACCTGCCCGCACAGGTGGGTGGGAGGTGCATGGGGCTGTAGGGGGACGGGAGGGGTGCAGGGTGCTGGGCAGGGCAGGGACTGGCCCTGGGTGCACAGCAGCTCAGCCCCCGCATCGTTTGACGCCCCCCACTCAGGAGCAGTGGGACCGGCTCTTGGTCCTGTACCCGACGTCCCTGGCCATTTTCTCCGAGGAGCTGGACGGGCTTTGCTTCAAGGTGGGCCCCTCCCCACTGTGGGCCCCTCCCCACTGTGGGCCCGCCCCAGGGAGGCACCTGTGTGGGGGTGGAAGGGGGCAGCGGTGCAGGAGGAACCTGTATTTCGGGGCCTGTTGAGACAGAGCTCGAGGCCCGCAGTCCTGGTCAGTCTGGTCTCCCCGTGACGTGGAGGAGCCCCTGCCCGCCCTGAGCTTCTCACCCTGAGGTTCTTGACCGTCACCCTGGGGCAGGCAGCACGGGGCTGAGAGCCCCTCCTGGGGACTCCCTCGTGTGTGCCTGCCCGTGAGGGGTGTGTGTGCACACGTGTGTGTGCCTGTGTCCTCCAGGGCAGGCACCGGGAAGGAGGTGTGCACTCATGGTAACCTTCAATCACTGAGGAACAAACACAGGGCCCTCCCTGTGGTTCCCCCGGCCCAACTTCCTCTCTGGGGACCCCAGGAGGCCAGTCCTGCGGCTTTGTGTGTCTGCCCCTAGCCAGCGAAGGTCCCCCCGCCAGGGCTAGCAGTGGCCCCAGGACAGATGGGACCCACTGGCCTCCCTCAGGGCGGTGGCCTCGGTGCCCAGCTCTCCAAGTACCCAGCCAAGCTCTGGAGGGCACGAGGGTGGGACGAAGCCAAGCGGGGCCCCGGGGCTGCCCCCACAAAGGCCTGGCCCTCAGTCTCCGCCCCCACAGGGGGAGCTCCCACTCCGTGCGGTCCACATCAACCTGGAGGAGAAGGAGAAGCAGATCCACTCCTTCCTGATCGAAGGTGGGGCCCTGACCCCAGTTCTGCCTCCTGCCTGGCCAGGCCATGGTGGGGCGGGAGCCTGGGGGACACCCGGCTCTTTAGTGGGGGTGCTGAGGGATACACCCCACCCTGCCAGCCCCTCACAGCATCTGTGTGCCAGGCCCCCTCATCAACACCATCCGCGTGGTGTGCGCCAGCTACGAGGACTACAGCCACTGGCTGCTGTGCCTTCATGCCGTCACCCACAGGGAGGGGGCCCCGCCGCTGCCTGGCGCCGAGAGCTTCCCAGGGCTGCAGGTGAGGCATCAGCAGGCCCCACAGCCCAGGTCCTGGGCAGTGGTAAAAATGGGGCAGCAGACCGGGCGCAGTGGCTCAAGCCTGTAATCCCAGCACTTTGGGAGGCCGAGGCGGGTGAATCATGAGGTCAGGATATCGAAACCATCCTGGCTAACATGGTGAAACCCCGTCTCTACTAAAAAATACAAAAAACTAGCCGGGCGAGGTGGCAGGCGCCTGTAGTCCCAGCTACTCCGAGGCTGAGGCAGGAGAATGGTGTGAACCCGGGAGGCGGAGCTTGCAGTGAGCCGAGATCTCGCCACCGCACTCCAGCCTGGGCGACACAGAGAGACTCCGTCTCAAAACAAACAAAAAATTAGCCAGGCGTGGTGATGCACCCCTGTAATCCCAGCTACTCAGGAGGCTGAGGCATGAGAATCGCTTGATCCGGGAGGCAGAGGTTGCAGTGAGCCGAGACTGTGCCACTGCACTTCGGCCTGGGAGACAGAACAAGACTCTGTCCCAAAAAGAAAAAAGCGGGGGCAGCAGGGTAGGTCCAGGCAGGGGCAGGTGGGGAGGGGGTCCAGCCCTCACTCACCCCCACTCACTGCCCACCCAGGTTACGGGCAGCGGCCGAGGCTCACTGTCCTCAGGCGGACGGACCAGCTGGGACTCGGGGTGCCTGGCGCCCCCCTCCACACGCACCAGCCACTCCTTGCCTGAGTCCTCAGTGCCATCCACTGTGGGCTGCTCCTCCCAGCACACACCGGTGAGTGCTTACGGGGTGGCAGACGAAAGTGGGGCAGAAGACTGTCGGGTAAGTGTGTGTTGGGGACCCTGGTTCGTCAGGGGAACTCAGACTGGAGGGAGCCCCTTGCAGCCTCAGAGAGTTACACAGGAGAGGGGCCAAGGGGCTCTCTGTGGAAGGTTTGTGGTCCCCACAGGACCAGACCAACTCTGACCGCACCAGCATTGGCCGACGGAGGACTGAGCTGAGACGTAGCAGCAGCCGGTCACCCAGGAGCAAGGCCCGGGCAGAGGGCCGCGGCCCTGCCACCCCACTGCACCTGGACCTGACCCAGGTGGGCCCAGCACACCCACCCAGCCCCTGGCCTGGTTCCCACCATTCCGCACCACTGGCCTCTGTCTCTGGACCTAGTTGTCCTGGCGCCACCCAGAGATGTCTTGCACAGAGAAGGGGTGGCCTAGGCTGCTGCTAGCCGAGAAGCCCATCTCTCCCACCTCTGCCCTGCAGCTGAACAGGCTGAGCCTGGAGAACAGCCCAGACGCCCCTGACCACGCTTCGGAAACTTCACACTCACCCCTCTACGCTGACCCCTACACGCCCCCCGCCACCTCCCACCGCAGGGTCACCGATATCCGGGGCCTGGAGGAGGTCAGGCCCCTGCTGGGCGACAGAAAGGGCGGGAGGTGCCTGCAGCCTGAGGTTGGGGAGGTCTAGACCGTGCCTCTCGGCCTGGGGTCTGGGGCTGCCCCAAGCCTGAGGTCTGTTCAGGCTCTGATGGGAGGTTGAGGTTCTGGGGGTCCCTGGATGCCACTGAGGCCCCAGCCCAGGCTCTCCTGGCAGTTCCTCAGTGCCATGCAGAGCTCACCTGGACCTGTGCCCTTGAGCCCACTCCCCTTGGTGCCTGTGTCTGTGCCTGCCTCTGACCCCGGCTCCAGCTCCTCTGGCCCCTCGGGCCCCCACTTGCTCTCCAAGAAGGGAGTCCTGCAGTCCAGAGCCCCTCAGAGACACCGGGGCTCAGCCAAGGACGGGCGGCCGCAGCCCCCAGACTCCCCTCAGCTTGTGAGTAGCAGTCCTCACGCCAGTGTGCCCTGCACTCCGGGGTGCTGGGGGCGCTGGTGTGGGGCCTTCTGGGACTCTGAGGGAGCAGGGAGGGAAACAGGAGGACGGGGGCAGATGGAGACCAGGAGGCCAGCAGGGAGGTGGGGAGACGGGACTGGGGAGGGAGAGCAGGGGGACGTGGGTGATGCCAACCAGGGGGGTGGGGGTCTGCACATCGACCGGCCGTCTCCAAGCTCCCTGCCTGGGGCTGTACCTGGCTCTCAGACTGGCGGTTTGGGCTTCCCAGGTCTCCTCTGCCAGGGAAGGTTTGCCTGAACCCCGGCTGCCTCTGACAGGTAAGTGAGGGTCCTGCCTCCTGGGGTGAGTGCCTGTTGGCTGTCACAGGCTGACACATCTCTGCCTTCCCTACTAGATGGCTGGTCCCCCAGGAGGAGCCAAGGTCCCGGCTATGACCACCTCTGGGACGAGACTTTGTCTTCCTCCCACCGGAAGTGCCCCCAGCTTGGAGGACCTGAGGCCAGTGCGGGTCTGGTGCAGTGGATCTGATGGCCACAGTGAGGCCGGCTCTCAGGACCACCCTCACCAAGCTCCAGGGTACCCGCCCCTCTAACCCACTTCAAATTACAAGTCAGGGTCTGAACCCAGTGTGATGGGGGGGTCTCCGGGGCCCTGAGTTCAGAGCCTGTCCCTCGGCTCCTGCTCCTCAGTGCCAGCAGATGGGGCAGGGAGGGGCAGGAAGGGCTCACCCCAAGGATGCCCTGGCTGGCGAGGTGGGTCACAGGTCAGGGAGGTCCTGGCCATCCACAGGGTCGGCCCTCAGCTCAGCTCGCCAGGAGTCGGGGGGAGACTCACTGGGAGTGGGAGGGGGGCGGCATGGGCGTGAAGGTCGGAGGAAAGAGAAAGGTCAGCAGGGTCAGGGTATGTGAGGTCAGAGGGCATGAGGGTCACAGGTCAGCAAGGTGTGAGGAGCACTGGCCAGGGTGTCCCAAGGAAGAGGGCGGGTGGGTCCTTGCATGGCCTGGGCATGCGCCATAGGGCAGCACGGGAGATGCTGACACCACCGGACGAGAAAGAACAAAAAGAGAAAAGAGAGAAGAGAAGAGAAGGAAAGAGAGAGAGAACGAGGAAAAGAAGAAAGAAAAAGAAAAGAAAGAATTTTATTGGTGCCACGTACACGTGTTCTCCGCTCAGCAGCCAGGATCTCCCACAGTCTTGAGGGCCCTGCACACACTGCCTTGGCAGGACCCCCACCTGGCACCCAGCCAGGCAGCCCCCTTCCTCTGCCACCTTCGGCCCCTCACCGACCTTCCCAACTCGTCTCTGACTCCCCTTGGCCGTGGGCCCCCGGCTGCCCCACAGGAGCCCAGCCCTCCGTCTGATGCTGCCAAATTCTCCCTCTGCACCTGCACCCAGGGCTTCCCAGGGAGGGGCTCGCAGCTCTGCCACAGACCCCCACCCTGCAGGGGCCGCCGGGCTGCCTTCACTGTCTCAGGCCAGAGCTCAGAGAGGCGTTGGCCACAGTCCCTTGAGGATCAAGAGTGATGGGCCTTGGAGCCCTTGGCAGCCCGGTCCACCTGTGAGGAGGCCGCCCTGTGTCCTCGCCCCTCTGTTTGCCCAGAGCTCCAGCCACAGCCTCTCGCTGCTCAGACCCCTCCAGGGTCCAAGTCCTGTCCTGCCACTCAGCCCCCACTGCATCCCGGAAGAAATGCAGGGTGTGGTTAAATGTGATTTCAGATAAACAACAAATAACTTCTTAGTAAAATGACCTCCCCACTATTGCGTGTCTGAAATTAACCGAATGTCCTGTGTTCTCATCTGTGAATCTGGCCACCCTCCTATCCAGCCACCTGGCTCCCTCCACCCACCCAGACTTTAGCACCTTCCCTCCCAGGCGTGGGGAGTGGCCGTGGCCACTGGCTGGATCCTCAGGTGAGTCCGAGGGAGCAGCACCAGGACACGCCCCCCTCCTGGACACCGTAGAAGACAGGGGTCAGAGGGCTCGGGCAAGGGTGGCACCTCATCCCGTCCTGGGTGCCTGTGGTCGTCTCCTCATCCCGCATCTCCCTGGCCCGGGCCTGGCTCCTAGGAGCTGGGGCTGTGGCGCTCTTGCCCCACCTGCCGGCGGAAGTAGCGGATGGCAGAGATGGTGCCGATGTTGGCCAGCAAGACTGCAAGAGAAGCACAGGGTCTCCTGAGGGCCAGCTTGGCTGTGACCACCGTCTGCCCGCAAGACCCAGCCCTCAAAGGGCGGGCTAGGCCGGTGTGGCCAGGGCCGCGGCTCAGCCTGGGAGGAGCAGGTCAGGGGAGAGCCCTGGGGCCCCCATGCACCCCTCGTCCTGCCAGTGCCCCTCGGTCTGGCTTCTAGCCACAGCTCCCTCTGCCCCCAGCACCCGAACCTGTTTTCCAAGCGTCTGGGGTGTGCAGATCTGACGTCCTCACAGCCCAGGTGGCAAGGGCTACAAACACCAGGCACATGTCATTCTGGCTGAAGGCAAATGACGGGACAGGCCCCCGGAGCTCCGCTAGGAGAGAAGCTCACCGTCAGCCCCACGGCTGCACTTAGAGGCGGCCCCGCACGTGCCCGCCCGGAACTCCCTGCACCGCCCCAATCCCGGGAACTGCCTCCCCCCAACCCCGGGAACTGCCTCCCCCCCAATCCCGGGAACCGCCTCCCCCCAATCCTGGGAACCGCCTCCCCCCCAATCCCGGGAACCGCCTCCCCCCCAAACCCCGGGAACCGCCTCCCCCACCCCAACCCCGGGAACTGCCTGCCCCGCACACGCCCGGGACCGCTGTCCCAGACACATCCACCCTGGGACATGTCTGTCGTAAGAGACATTTGTCCTGGACACATCTTCCCGGGAACTGCCTGCCCCGGGGGCCACCTGTCCCGGAAACCGCCTGCCCTGGACGTGTCTGTCGGAGTCACATCTGCCCCGTGCTTCCTCTGCCTGAGACTTGGGTGACCTGGTTGAGTTGGGCCAGTTTGGGGGGAACTGCCTGTGGAGCCCCCGTTTTCTGGTCTGTGAAGCATCTCCCAGAGGAGATGAGTGTGAGATGTCGCCTCGCAGATGCCTGACCCTGAAGGCAGCGAGGCCTGGGCGGGAACCCTGCCAGAGGCTGGGGGAGGGACGCTGTCGTGCCGTGGGCCCGAACACTGCTCTGGCCAGTGCAGAGCCAGCCCCCTGAACAGCCCGGGCGCCTGGCCTGGGCCGCCCCGTCTGGATTGTGTCCTGGGGTGACTGGGGGCTGGCCCCCAGGCTCCCCTGCCAGGAGATGACCTGAGCCCTGCCTGCCCCTCCCCAGTGGCCCCCTCCCTGGCCAAGCTCCCTGGACAGTGTTTGCCTGGGACCTGGACGGGGATCCGAGAACACGTACCTGCCCGCCTAAGAGCCAGGTGGAGCCGCTCTACTGTGGCTGGCTTGAGGGGGGTCCCCGGCCCCGCGCCCTGGAAGGCCGATCTGGGAGGCTCCGGGGCCTGCAGCTGGGGCAGGACAGCCGGCCCTAGCACGCCCTCAAGCCTGTCGTCCCCGAAGAAGTGTTCATAGACCTCAGGGATGGAGATGGGCACAGGGTCTCCAGGTACGGGGGCCGGTACAGGATCAGCTCTTGGGAGTGGCGCCGGGGACCCCCGCTGCCTCGGCCTCTGGGCTCCGGTGTCTTGGAAGAAGAATTCGCACATGTCCGGCCACTGGATGCCTGCCGGATCCTGACCGGCTGCTGCCGCCTCAGCATCCTCGTCCTCCTCGATGGTGTCACAGAAGAAGAACTCGTAGGCCTCCGGGAGGGTCACGGCAAAGCTGCGCCCGGGCCGGGCCCTCATCACGGCAGAGGGAGGGGGGCGAGGCAGGTGCTTGAGGATCCGAGGCTGGTGGGGCCGGGGACCGACGGCCACAGCATCCCAGGCTCCGGGCCCCCCGTGGCCCCCAGTTGCTGTCCGGGGGGCTGAGGGCCTGGCTGTGGCCGATGGGGCCAGGCCTGAGGCCTCTCCTGGGCCTGGCTTGTTGGGGCAGGGCGCAGCCACGGAGAAGCGCACTTTCTTCTTCTTGGGGACTTGGGTGAGACCCAGTGCGGGCTCCCCAGAGCGGTATCCAGGGGCCCCTGCTGAGGGCGCAGACACAACCACCTCTGTCTCCACATCAGGCCCAGCTCTGCGGGTGGGAGACCAGGCGGGGCCAGTGGCGTCAGCTGTGGGAACAGGGGTAGACACAAGCCCGCTGGACTCGGTCACCCTCGGCACAGCCTCTGAGACAGGTGGAGATGAAGCCACCTCTAGCTTAGCCACTGGGCCTGCTGTCGGCAAGGCCATGTCCAGGCCATGCTCGGAGGCAGGTGTGGACACAGCCATGTCCGTGTCAGGTTGCAGCTTGGAGACGGGTGTAGACAGGGCCACACTGGACTGAGGCTCAGAAGTCAGTGTGGACACAGCCGTGTCAGGTTGTGGCTCGGAGGCAGGTGTGGACACAGCCAGGTCTGACTTAGCCCATGAGACATCTGGGTGGGCTTCCTGGACAGGTGTGGACCCCGTGTGCAGCTCAGCTCGGGGAGGGGTTCTGATCTGGTCTGTGCCTTGCTCAGTCACAGGGACGGGTGTAGATAGGCCCAAATCTGGCCCTGGCTCAGGAGCTCCTGTAGAGCCTGGCCCCAGCTCCTCCTGCCTGGCTTTGGCCGTCAGCTTTGCCGTCTCAGGACTGGCCGCGGGGAGCAGCGGGGAGCCCGTCCGGGCAGAGGTAGAGGCCCCTGCGTGCCCATCCCCCTTGGCACCCACAGCTCGCCTCTTCTTCCGGCTGGGGCTCCGTGGTGGGCCTCCAGGGCTATCGGGGGGCCTCTGGGAGCCAGTGCTGTGGCCAGGGGACTCGGGACTCCGAGGGGGCTCACCAGGGGGCCGTGGGGCAGGGCCCTGCAGAAGCCTCTGCATCTGGTCTCCAGAAGACGCCGGACCAGGGCAGGATGAGCACTGGCCGGGAGGGCTGGCGCCGGGGCCGAGGGACAGTGGAGCCTCTGCCTGTGTGGATGTGCTGGGTGTCTGCTGACCGGTCCCCAGGGCCAAGACAGGCTCACACAGAGACCTGCTGACCAGCTGCTGTGTGGCCACGTCCTCCCCCTCGCAGCCCCGCCAGCTCCGCCCTCCTGCAGCTGGCTGCCCAGTTGGGAGAGGCGGGGGCCTGGGGGGACTGCTGCCACTGCTGTCCCCTTGGTCAATGTCACTGGACAAGGGCTCGTCCCCAGAGGCCAGGCCAGCCTGCAGGAGGCCACACTCATCGGCGGTGGCTGAGAACTCAGCCCAGTCCTGGTCACTCAGCTGGACGCTGTACTGGAAATTTTCCATGTGGGGTCAGCAGAGGCACTGGAGGGTAGCAGAATGGGTCCAGTGGGGTCTTTGTGCGTTCAGGCCCCAGGCACTACACTGCACATGCGGCTCCTGCCGCACGAGACCCAGGGGTTCCACCGCCTCGGGGCTCCATCTGGGCCCTGAAAGGAAGAGAACGTCTCGAGGGGAGGGTCGCGCTTCCCTCAAACGTAGTGGTGACGATTTCCAAGTTAGAAGATCCCCAGCTCCCATGACCCTAATTCCCAACGCACCCCAAATGATAGCTGTGTGATGATTACGTCACATAGTGTGTTACGTTTCTAGAATCTAGGATGATTTTCTACCAGTGAAGTTATAAAACCAGCCGCCCTCAGGGTCGAACGCTCAGTTTCCCATCACACCTTAGCTGGGGCGGCCTCACTTCCTCCACCTTCTGCCAGAGCTGTCTTTACACGGCAAAGCCCCTCTCAGGGTCCACCCAATGGGACCAGTGCGCTCGAGAGGCAGGCGGCCCTGGCCCATCCTAGGGCGCCCCAGCTGGCAGCCGGCCACAGGAGAGGTTTGCAGGGCCCAGCAGGTGCCCAGCCCTCGGTGATGACCTTCCGATCGCATTGGCTGGGCCAGGCTATTCTCTGAGCTCCAGGTGGTGCTCACTAGAGCTGGCCCCGGTCAGCAGGGAGAGCCTGGGCAGGAGGTGCAGGGTGCAATGGGTCTCTTGACCCAGC